TATACAAAGACTTAGACTGCAACGGGGGCGCAACATAGTTAGATATAAGTTTTACCTACTGAGGATAGCCAGCATGAACAACATCACGTTAAGAAACCCTCCTGAGGACATTAAGACCAAAAGAATTGTGGACATCCTTGAGAATAGGTTATATGGTAGAGTCTTCCCCGAGTTGGGATGGAAACCTATAAATTGTAAATATTATAATAACTGGAAATTAAATAATAAATTATAAAATTAAATAAAATATAAAATTATAAAATTAAATAAAATATAAAACCATAAAATTAAATAGAATATAAAATTATAAAATTAAATAAAAATATAAAATTAAATAAAAATATAAAATTAAATAAAAATATAAAATTAAATAAAAAATATAAAATTAAATGTTAAATAAATTATTAAATAAAATAGGCCTTTTAATAGGCCTATTTTTTTTTTTTTACATATAGTATATAGAGAGAGAGTGAAAAAATGGCGACAAACTTTGACTTAAACGATTTAACTGTAGAACAACTTATGGCCCTCAGCGAGATAGTTGATGATAGTGATAGTAGCGACATTGATGACAAAGTTGAGGAAATATTTACGGATGAGTTCTATCGAGTTGCACCTAAGGATAAGGGCAAAGATCCCTTTGAAGGACAAAGACAATTCATAGACGAAGGCGACCGTTCTACGGATCCTAAGAAACCGAGACGACTCCCACTTAACTATAAACGTAAAAGAGGAATTATGCCGACATGGAAGTATTCCGACAGACAAAAGGCTAAGGCCCTACTTGTTGAGGAGGCATACCAGAATTTACTAAGTAGGGGAGTTGAAGGTCTACCACCAACAATGGGAGGGAGATGGCGAACAGATGATCCACAGGTAAACGCCGAAATTAAGAGGCTTGAAAATGAGAGGAACCCCAAGCGTCCCAGAGGAAGGCCACCAAAGCCTAAGTCTGATGCTGAAGTAAAGGTCCCAAGAGGTAGACCAACAAAACCTAAGACTGACGACAAAGTTGTGATTCCAAAGAAGCGTGGAAGACCACCGAAGCCTAAGTCTGACACTGAAGTTAAGGTCCCAAAGAAGCGTGGAAGACCACTAAAACCTGAGGTAGTCGAAACACCTAAACCTAAGGTTAAAAGACAAACCGTCGCTGAAAGATTCCTAAGTCAAAACAGGATTAAACTTTCAGTTCCTGCAAATAGTGTTATTACTCCAGCAGGCCCAGGTAAGTTCACAATCCAAGTGGATCTTAACAAGAAACCCACAAGGAAAGCTCCCGAAGTACCCAAGGGTGTGGCTCCCTGGAAACCAACACCTAAACCTAGGGAAAGGCCAATTCCTAAACCAAGAACTATACTTCCTAAGAAAAAACCCGTTCCTAAGCCAAGAACTGTACTTCCTAGGGAAAGACCTGTTCCCAAACCAAGAACCCTAAAACCAGTGCCTCCTCCAAAGTTACGAAAGCCCGTAAAAGTGTTTAAGGAAGTTAAAGAACAGCCTGCAGTGGTCACACCTAAGGAACACGAAATAGATCCATTTGGAACATATCTCGAAAAGCCATTCCACAGGAAAATTGAAACAGCCGCAAACGGAGCAGCTGTGACCTATTCAATTACTCCCCAGTATATGGATCCCCTGGACCAGATGACCGCAAGTAGGCAGGTAGTAAGAGGAATATTAGTGAATGAGCTGAAGAGAATGGGAGGGTTGAAATACACTGAGACAATTAAGGTGAGAATGTCAAAGGATATTGGTAATGACAAGACAAAGAAAGATTCAATATACTTTAAGTCTAAAACTGGAACCGCGACTAACTTTGAGGACATCGAAAGCACAGCTGCTCAAAATCAACTGACCATCCTTGCTAGAATAGAAACCTTTCAAAACTTAGGTTCAAATTGGATTATTCTAAATATTGAAAGCCATTATGTAAACATTGCGATGTACAAACCTCTAAAGGGTAGTTCATATATGAAATTACCTGCAGACATTAGTAATCCAAAATGTGGGCTAATCAATATGAAAAACAACGACAACAAATGTTTCATGTGGAGTCATGTGAGACACGTAAGACCGAAAGCCCGAAGAGCAACCACCATTACACGACAGGATATGGAGTTCGCGGAAAACCTAGACTACAGCGGTATAGACTTCCCTGTGAAGATAAGCGACATCGAAAAAATTGAGAGGAAAAACAGTATGAGCATATCAGTGTTTGGTTATAGTGGTAAAAAGCAGTTCTATCCTATAAGAAACTCTAAGACCAAATATGACGAGCATATGGAGTTGCTGCTCTTAGGTGACGGTAATGGTAATAACCACTATGTTCTCATAAAGGATATAAACAGAATGCTCTTCAGTGTAAACGGAAACTCTAACAAAAAACACTTTTGCTTACACTGTCTTCACAGCTGCTCAAGCAAAGAGTCACTTGAAAAACATAAGGAGACATGTCTAGAGGTAAATGGAACTCAAGCCACAAAGCTTCCCAAGGAAGGTTCTAAAATAAAGTTCAAAAACCATAGGAACTCAATGCCTGCTCCATTTGTTATATATGCTGACTTTGAGTCTATACTTGTTCCTGAAGAGAGAAAAGTTGATTCTGAGAACCCTGGGGATAAAAGCAGCACGGACCTTTACCAGACACATAAAGCCTGTAGTTTTGGGTTGAAGACAGTCTGCCATTACGATGATAAGTACTCCGGTGAGTACATCAGTTACGTTGGAGAGGATGCCACACAGGTCTTCCTGAAGACTGTATTGAAAGAGTCATTCAAGTGTAGAGATATGGTTAACCAGATATTCAAGAAAAAGATGGTAATCACACTCGAACAGGAAACTGAGTTCTGGATGACAAGAAACTGCTCAATATGTGGTAACGACCTTGGAGATGACAGAGTGAGAGACCACGATCACGTAACAGGAATGTACCGTGGAGCTGCTCACAATATATGCAACTTAAAATACAGAATTACATGGAAAGTGCCTGTGTTCTTCCACAATCTTAGAGGTTATGATAGTCATCTAATTATGCAAGAGATTGGTAAGTTTAAGATGAACATTAACGTGATCCCAAATAATATGGAAAAATATATTTCCTTCTCTCTTGGTAAAAATATCGTGTTCATTGACTCTATACAGTTTATGGCTTCTTCACTAGAAGCACTTGTGAGTAACCTTTCACCTGAGGACTTCAAGATAGTAGGTAAGAGGTGGAAGGGTGAGGACTTCGACTTAGTGACACAGAAAGGAGTCTTTCCATATGAATTCCTAGATGACATCAGTAAGCTAGACTCAGAGGGTCTTCCAAGCAGAGATGAGTTTTACTCGTCACTGTACGAGTCAAAGGTGAAGGAAGAGGATTACCAAAGAGCTCTAAAAGTATGAGATCACTTTAAGATGAAGACCATGAGAGACTACCATGATCTCTACCTAGAGACTGACGTTCTACTACTTGGTGATGTATTTGAAAACTTTAGGCGAACCTGCCTGGAAAATTACAAGCTAGACCCCGCACATTACCTGTCAGCACCTAGTCTAAGTTGGGACGCCTTCCTGAAACAGTCAGGTGAGGAAATAGAACTTGTAAGCGATATGGACATGTTCCAGTTCTTTGAGAAGGGAATGAGAGGAGGTGTAAGTCACATTGCTCATAGATACTCAACAGCGAATAACAAGTACATGGAAACGTATGACGAGACGTCTGAAAACAAGTACCTTATGTACCTCGACGCCAACAATTTATATGGCTGGGCAATGGCACAACCACTACCTAATGGAGAGTTTGAGTGGGTCGAGGAATTTGATGATATAAATCTTGATGATTACCTGGAAGACAGCGAAAGAGGTATGGTTTTAGAGGTTGACATGGAATATCCAAAAGAACTTCACAACCTACATAACGGTTATCCTCTAGCACCGGAGAGCAAGGAAATTGATGCATCAATGTTGTCTGATTATGCAAAAAGTATTGCTGAGAAATTTCAGCTGACAATTGGAGGAGTAAGAAAACTTGTGAACTCTCTTGGTCCAAGAAAGAACTACGTCTTACATGTACGTAATCTTAAACTATACACAGACCTTGGAATGAAACTTACAAAGATTCACAGAGCTGTCTCATTCAAACAAACTCCCTGGCTTAAGAACTATATCGACTTCAATACGAAGAAAAGATCAGTTGCTCGGAACACATTCGAAAAGAACTTCTTCAAATTAATGAACAACTCAATCTATGAAAAGACAATGGAAAATCTTAGGAAAAGAGTTGATGTAAAATTAGTGTCATCAAAAGACGACCTCCTAAAACTGACAGCATCACCCTGCTTCCAGTCACATAGAATCATGAATGAGAACTTAATAGTTGTAAAAAGAACGAAGGAAGTTCTGACTCTAAATAAACCGTGCTACGTGGGAATGAGCATCTTAGACTTGTCGAAGACTTTGATGTATGATTTCCACTACAATACAATCAAGAAGGAGTACGGTGACGGAGCAAAGTTATTGTTCACAGATACTGACAGTCTTATGTACGAAATAAAGACAGATGACGTCTACGAGGACTTCAGGAGGATCGGCGAAGAGCAAGACTGCTGGGATAACTCAGATTACCCAAAAGATTCTCCATACTACTCAGCTCACAATAAGAAGGTTATTGGAAAGTTTAAAGACGAAGCTGGGGGAGTACCTATAATTGAGTTTGTTGGGTTACGGTCTAAGATGTACTCTTATGTAAAGGAAAATGGTGGAGGTGGAATGACAGCCAAAGGAGTGAAAAACTTTAAGAATGTAATAAATACTAAAGGTAGGATGAGACACAACATGAACACTATCAGAAGCGTCAAACATACAATAGGAACTTATGAAATAAAGAAGGTCACTCTAAGTTGCTTTGACGACAAGAGGTATATTCTGGAGGATGGAGTTACCAGTTATGCTTACGGTAACAAGAATATAATAAGTAGCAATTAGAAGACCACGGTGGAGTAGAAAGTAATAACCCCAAGGGGAATGCAGACAGGAAGGGCCCCCTGCCCTGTGTTCCCTCAAGGTGAAACTAAAGATGCTAAACGAGAGTTCAAATCCAGAAGTTGGAAAAGATCGGTGAAGATCCGAGAGTCCCAGCGACTGGATAATAGAAATAGTAAATCTTCGTGAATAGACCATGGTTAGTAGAAAGTGGTCTAGAAAATAAATCAAGATTTTTGATGAAGACCAAGATGATTGGCTTGCATTAGAAAAAGTGATGTATGAGCCAATGTCAAAAAGTGGTCTAGAACCCTCAATCCCTATACTACTGACACAATGGCAGATTGTTTGGTTAATCAGGTGTTAGACAGGTATTTGGTTTGTCAGGTGTTAGACAGAGTAAAAGAATAAAATAGGGTGCATTTGGGCTCATTGCTGCCTAATGGGTTAAAAAAGAAAATTAAGTATTTACAAGAAGTGGGCTAGGGACCTACTAGTGACCATATGGCTTTTATTTAAGGTTCTGTAATATATACCATTAATACTGACCCCTCACGCACAGTGATGGTCTTTTTTAAGGAAATTTCCTTATTAAAAAATAAGAGCAATGATTGTAATAGCAAAAATAATTGATTTTATATACCGGTATTTCATACATGACTATTTCCTTACGAAACAAAAAGAGAACCAAACACATATTGAGAAAAAAATGCAATCAAAATGTTGAAGTGGAAAACCAGCTTACTTTGCCAAATTTTGTCATTCGATCATACTTGTTGCTGTGGCATATCACTTCACTATATTAACCATTTGTGCTTGTTATGGCAACCTTTTATGATTATTACAGAACAATTTAGTTGTTATGTAAAAGGCATTTTATCTTTTTCGTAGGTATGTACAGTACTATCGATGATAGACAATTAGATCAACTTGTCACTGAAGCAACTGCTCAACATCCAGCAATTGGGATTCGAATGGTGAAAGGGCAGCCTAGACCTAGGCCTTCTATTTTTATTTATATTTTTTTTAATATTCAGCGCTTTTTCATATGAAAAGACTGTGACTAGGTGATTTGGGGGCGGGGCGGAGGAAGGACACAAGCCTGACGCAAGCGAAAAAATAGAAGGCCTAGTGGATTTCCCAACAAGAAGGCCAAAACTGCCCTGAAACTGCCCTGGTTGCGAAATGCCCAATTATTGCGTTCTCAAACAGAATTATTTGCAACTTAACAGCGAATTTAAACCGATACAGGTAAAATAAACTCATTTATAGTATAAACTTACTATTTTTATTTGTATACACGTCTAGAAAATCGGCTTTTTTATCATAAAGTTTGAAACAACACTATTATTATGTTGACAAGGTGAAGCGAAAGCACAAAATAATAATTCTTTTCTTCGCAAGACAATCTACTGTTTTGCTTTGAATAACTATATTTGCGAATTGGGAATGAGGATTTTGAAATTATTGTTCAAATATTACGGATATACCATTTGTAAACAATGTACGTTTTTATATACAGTACTGTACGGGCTAATAATATATGTATCCGTTTTATTTAATAAATTATACTTGTATATGTGTTTGTATATTTTACAAACACAAGACTGCTTCTTGCCAAAATTTATAAAATATATATTAATGTAGTTGTGTATAAGACAAAATTTCATGAAAGATTCTACTTTTGGTATATATTTTGACTCATTTTGTGCTTTCGCTACACCTTGTCAACATAATAATAGTGTTGCTTCAAACTTATGATAAAAAACCCGATTTTCTAGACGTGTATACAAATAAAAGTAGTAAGTTTATACTATAAATGAGTTTATTTTACCTGTATCCGTTTAAATTCGCCGTTAAGTTGCAAATACTTCTGTTTGAGAACGCAATAATTGGGCATTTTGCAACCAGGGCAGTTTCAGGGCAGTTTTGGCCTTGTTGTTGGGAAATCCACTAGGCCTTCTAGGCTTGCTTCCTCCGCCCCGCCCCCAAATCACCTAGTCCCAGTCTTTTCATGTGAAAAAGCGCTGAATATTAAAAACATATAAATAAGACTAGAAGGCTAGGTCTAGGCTGGCCAGGCGGCAAGTAACTAAGTAAAGGAATGCTGTGACGCAATTAAAGGAAACCGGCTTATTTACAATGCGTAAAACACCTAGTAATCGGACAAAAACATGCACAAACACCAACAATCACGCGCAAAAATAATGAGACTTTACGTATTTCAAGCATTTGTTTTCGTTTTGACACATCTACATTCATATAATTCGATCTTTTCTTACTATTTCCCCCCTCCCCCATTGACAATGTTGGGCGAATCTTTTCAGCCAACACTGTGGTTTCGTATCATGAAACAACATTGTTTTGGGGGGAAGTGGGGGGGGGGGGGCGAATAGGATGTCTCAATAATTTTTGCTCCTGATTGTCTCTACATATGCAAATTTTAAGCCAATTTTATGTCTAAGTTGTCGTGAGAAAATACGATTGTAACCTTTCTTTTGGTTGTCGATCTTTTTTATGTTGACTAGACAATAAATTAACGTAATTAGGTAATGTAAGTCAATGACGGCACTATGGCGTCATCGTAATATAATAGAAAGTGTGATTTATACAATATTATTGCATTTGAAGGAGATTTTAAATTATTTCTTGTTACTAAAATTAGTAAGTTGTTTTATTTTGAAGATTTATAATCAGGTTTTCAACACACAATTGAAAAAAAAAATTAAAACAATTATTTGACAGCTAACGTAATTTGATCGTAAAAAAAACGGGGAGAAAGATTGAGGAATTGGGTAATTTCATTAACAATTTTTCATAAAATATTTGTTTTAATAGGCCGTAGGATGAGCATCCAAAAGATGCAACTCCGTTGCACCCCTCGTGGAACTACGTAATTTTCGCATGAATCAATAGATAAAAACTTACTTTATAAGAATCCGTTGCGCCCCAAGCGAAACAGGTGCACAATTGGGAAAAATATTCCTCCAAAGTTTGATATTTTCCCGCTACGAAATATTCGAACCGCCATTGTTTTGGTAGCAAATACGCATGCGTGTTTCAGCCAAACTCGCACTGCGCACGCACAGGCAGGAAAAATGGATTTTCCCTGTGGGTTTTCCCCGATTTCCCCCGTAAAAACAGCAAAATAAAATCCCGGAATAGAGATCAAACCTTGTAATATTAACGAATAAATAATACACACAAATTAATTAAATATTGCTTAAAACACCTTCTTGTACATTTTGCTTGCTCATCTGCTAAATAACTTCAATTCATTGACTATTGTTTCAAAATACGGTTATATTTATTATTACGGTTATATCTACTTATTAACATCCTAATTCAATACAAATTTGTGTGAAGTAAAAACCCACCTGTATCAAACAGGACGCAGAATATATAATTATACATAAAATTCACACGATCAAGGAACAAATGAAATATGTCGCTAAACTAAAGCCTTGACCAAACGTAGGGAACATTGTCGCGGAAATATTCGTGATTTGTTTCAAATGTTTTCCTATCTCCCATATCCGGAAACATTAGCTTTTATTGCAAAAACTAAAGTTGCTTCCCGGGAAGCAAAAATATTTCCCACCAAATTCAGAAACATTTGATCAAACACTCTTTCCCCGTTTGCCGACGCTGATATAAAGACAATATGACCTACAGAAACATTAGTAAGACAAATATAAATATGACAAATATCTTTGCGCACTGAACAATATTTCCCAGTTTGTCCCGGGCTTTAAGGGGTATTTATATAAACTCTTAGGAAAACCTTTGATTGAATCTTTAATGTATTATTGAATAACTATCAACTATGCAAGATATGTTTGGCGCGTAATATATGTTCTATAGATTTCATTCTTGGATTTGGACCAACTTTTACATGGTTCCAAACATCTTTTCCAACCGACGAAACCGGACTGCACCAGTGAAGAACGTTTAACTGTGAATTGAAAGAAACATCTCCCAGGCACCAACTCGAAATTCATCATGAAAAAAGATAAATTGGGAGGAAATATAAAATCCATAATTTTATCATAACTATCTATATAACTGAAAGAAATGTTTTCATCCTTGACCCCAAATTTTCATCAGTGCAATAAAATCCCACTTATTGGATCCTGGGCAAGTGCCTACGCTCAAAACGAGATTGCATGTATTCTACAATAAGCTGTCCTGGCTTTTGTCTGGTAAAGTTCTACTATAAATTATATTGTGACAAAAGTTGGTATTTAGCTACTATCTAGAATAACAAGGAACGATTCAACCTGGTTTTTCGTGCACATAGTAGTTGACTTTTTCTTTTAGATTTGCTACTGCGCCAGGGTGCGTTTCAGCTTCTCAGCCATGACCATACATAAACCTTGTCCACTGTGGATCCGAATGAAAATATCGAATGGGTAAATAAATACTGATCTACTGCACTGCGCAGATAATACCTACGTGCATTACCATCATTGTTCTTCAAATATGCCATCGAATCCAGTGTCATCGCCATCAAGTTCGAATAATAAGCCACCATGATTGTCATCACCTGACAAATTGTTCTCGTCTGTATTCTGGTCGGAGAAATTTGTGCACTCGCAACAGGAACAAAGACCAGTACACTTCAAATCTGCTTTTTGACAGGCACAACGTCTTGAACATCCAGACTTCGGCATGGTCATCCATCTGATATTGACTTGCCCTTGGTTTACTTCCCAACCGAACTCGCTGATCTAAGGGGGTAACATAACTGGTTAGAGTGCACCTTTTCATATGCGGCATTGATGTGATGCATGATCGATTTGTATGAACTAAAAGAACATCAACAAAACGTTGTGCCTGCGAAAAAGAATAATTGAAGTGTACCGATCTTTGTTCATGCCTCCTGGTATATTTGAAGAAAAGTGATGGTAATGCACGTAGGTATTATCTGCGCAATGCAGTAGATCAGTATTTATTTACTCATTCGATATTCTCATTCGGATTCACATGCAGTACTTATATTATAAACACGTATATATATCCCTCTCATGGACAGGGTTAACAGTATGGTCATGGTTGAGAAACTGAAACGCACCCTGTGGAGAAACTGAGACCCACCCTGGCGCAGTAGCAGATCTATAAGAAAAAGTCAACTAGTGTGGGCACGAAAAACCAGGTTGAATCATACCTTGTTATTCTAAATGTCACTATATTATACAGTAGAACTTTACCAGACAGAAACCAGGAAACAGTAGAACTTTACCAGACAGAAACCTTTTCTTATTGTAGAATACATGCAATCTCGTTTTGAGCGCAGGCCCTTGGCCAAGATCCAATAAGTGGGATTTTATTGCATTGACAAAAATCTGGGCTCAAGGATGAAAACATTTCTTTCAGTTATAGATAGTTATGATGAAATTATTGATTTTATATTTCCTCTCAATTTATCTTTTTTCATGATGAAGTTTGAGTTGGTGCCCGGGAGATGTTTCTTTCACAGTTAAACGTCCTTCACTGTGCAGTCCGGTTTCATCTGTTGGAAAAGATGGTTGGATCGAATGGAAAAGTTGGTCCAAATCTAAGATTGGTATCCATAGAATATACTTTTAAAAGCGATGGATGAAACGCACAATTTAAGAAGCGGCAAACATTGGCAAACATATCTTACATAGATGCTTGTGATGTTACTCTGAGTGTATATCCACACCGGTCAGGCTTGAAAAATGTGCCTAGCCACGGTGGGAATCGAACCTACGACCTTTGGAATACCAGCCCAATGCTCTGCCAACTGAGCTACGCGGTCAGGTCGGTTCGAGTAAGTGATATTTCGGAACTGAGTCTAGTTCCTTCGACATCAGTGTAATCTAATAATCATATATTTGCTGTGTTTGTGTAGTGTACTCAGGTGATTAAGATGCTTGTGGATATACACCCAGAGTAACATCACAAGCATCTTATTCACCTGAGTATACTACACCAACACAGCAAATATATCTTACATAGTTATTCAATACATTAATGATTCAATCAGAGGTTTTCCTAGGAGTTTATATAAATATCCCTTAAAGCCCGGGCAGGGGCCGCGGAACCGGGGAGGCAATGGGGCATCTCCCCCCACTTTTTTTAAAAGTGTCCTTTTGGGGGGCTAAAGTGCCCCATTTACAGAACGAAAAAAGTATTTCTTGAATGAACGCCCTCTTTTGCTGGAAAGAACACTCCCTTTTTGCAGTAGTAAAGACTCTGTAAAGGCCATTTCCGACGTAATATAGAGATTCCATATTTTCAAAAAATTTCGTTCGGCTTGTGAACGATATAAAATCGTTTGGTTTTGGTCATATACAAAAGTGCCCTTTTTGGCCAATGCCCCTTCATCACTTTCGAAATGCTTCCGCGGCCTCTGAGCCCGGGACAAACTGGGAAACATTGTTGCGCAAGATATTTGTCTTACCAATGTTTCAGTATGTGCCTTGCCAGAGTCGGCAAACGGAGAAATAGTGTTTCATCAAATGTTTCTGAATTTGGTAGGAAATATTTTTGCTCTCCGGGAAGCAACTTTTGTAATAAGAAGCTTTAATCGAACTCGTGAAATTTACAATGCTAAATGAGAACGAAACAAAAGACATTACAACAAAGGCGAGTTAGATATGGGATCGGCGAACGGACTCGAAGTCCCAACAAGGCAAACCCCGCACATAAATTATAACTAGAAATTTACACTATTAAGGAAACACAAAACTTCAATAAAAGATCTTAATACCACTGAACAGACAGCCCAGTCTCTCGCTCAGGTTGACTGCACATACCAACGGCCACTTGAAACAAATAATTGATGGAAATTATTACGGAAAATAATCTTAACCCATGCGCTATTAGTACTTACCCTAATTCTGGTTTTAAGATAAGGTACAGTCAATCTGAGGAAGAGACCGGGATGGTACAGTGTAGCATTCTCCTCAGTAACACACCTTCGCTGCTTATTAACTAACAACAGGAAGGGCTGTCAATAGACCTACAAGAAGGACATATTGTCTTCCACATACTTAATCTGTCCGTATCAAAAACGTTCCGTAACTTTATGAAATAATGTTTACATAAACGAAATTTAAACGTACTGATGGAAGACGATTTGCGAATTTCAAGTGGTAGATTATTAATTCCAAAGCTTTACAACACGATTGAAGAAGAAGTCTCTAAATAATGTAGTAGGAGGCGGTTTACTGGATACAGATTTAAACTATCAGTAGAGCTCCTGGTGCGATCACTTGAGACTTGTATGTAATCTTCAAGCTGTACATTAAATGAACCGCTCATATACTTGTAAACAAAGCATAAGTCACGACACTCCAACCAGTAGGAAATAGGAAGCAGGTTGAGAGTAATCAAGCGGGACTTGTAGTTGGGTCGGACATGAAGTCGTTGCTGCAGTTGAGGATGAAACGCGTAGCTCGCCTCTGCACACTCTCCAATAGTTTTAAGTCCGTTCTGCATGACTGAGGAGCCCATGCAGATTTCGCTAGCATAACTTAGGTGGGAGCGCACCAGTGATAAGTACATCGACCTTCTGTGGGCAGGCCCAGTTAAGGAAACGCCGAAGTGTCGTCGTAGGAAGCCAAGTGTCTTGTTTGCTTTGGCAACAACAGAAGAAATTTGGAGGTCCCACGTCAGCTTGTTGTTAACTAAGACCCCCAAGTCTTTTGATGAGGGAACGACAGCGAGTGGGTGGTCATTGATGGTGTAGGGATTGAGGTACGGGATTCCAGCATACTTCTTCGTTTTCTAGATATTCTTAATACTTCGCATTTGTTCTTGTTAAAAGAAAGTCCCCAATCTTGAGACCATATGGACACTGAATGTAAATCTTTCTGAGCTGAAGGGCAGTACAATCGTCTGAGTTACGAACCAACATGGGAACATTTTGCATCATCAGCGAAAAGAGCAATAGATGTTGAATTGCTAAGGACGTCAGGCAAGTCATTTACGTACAGAAGGAAGAGAAAAGGTCCCAATATACTGCCTTGAGGAAAACCAGATGTTACGGGTACCCACGAGGAAAATGTTCCTTCGATGGCAACTCTCTTGGATCTCGAATGTAGGTAGTCCGTAAACCACGCATGCAGTGGACCCTGGATACCAAACAGTGAAAGTTTATGTAAAAGTCGCCCATGAGGCACAGAGTCAAAGGCTTTACTGTAGTCCTGGTAGACGACGTATACTTCATCACCAGCATCAAGCGCGGTTCCCACGTCGTGAAGAACTGACAACAACTGCGTAATACAAGATCTTCCTCGAACAAAGCCATGCTGTGCAGATGTTAGGAGGTGACTGAGCTTCGATAGTAAGTTCCTGAGGACGCAACGTTCACAAAATTTGCTCACAATAGATAGAAGCGAAATTTGACGATAGTTGGGCACTAAAGCTTTACATCCTCTTTTAAACACTGGTGCTAGTTCGTTTGCACATTCTTTCAGAATTCTCGGATGGAGATTGTCCGGTCCAGGTGTTTTACTCGAGTTGAAATTTTGTAGAGAGGACAATACTTCTTCGTGGGAAAATTCGAGGGTCGATACGATATCATGCGTGTATAGGGAGGAGGGAAGGTTACTGGGTATTGATGTATCAGAGTTGAAAACGGTGGTGAAATACGTGTTAAACGCGTTGGCATTCGACCTCGCATCCGAGTGAGAACGTCCGTTAAGATCGACAGTTTCGGGAATGTTGGAACGTCTCGTCAACCGGTTGAAGTAACTCCAGAACCGGTCAGGGTGAGAAATGCATGAGTCTGAAATGTTCTTAAGGAAGGCAATACGTTTAGGTCTTATTAGGTATTTACCTTCTTACGTTTTTCACGGAATCTCTCCCAAGTAGCCGAGTTGTTCTTTTCTTTTCCTCTTTTCCAAAGCGAGTTCTTTCGCCGTATTGCATGGGTTACCTCACCATCAATCCATGGCGGTGTTATGAACTTACGAGGCTTGCGCTTCGGTATGAAGGCGTTCAGCTTGGAGAAGAGTTGTGTTTTCCATGAAGTCCAGTTGTGTTCAACGTCATTATCCGTATCTAAATAGTTCTCGAGCGGGTCGTTCCTTAACGCAGTTCGTAGTCCTTCAAAGTTAGCCTTTTTAAGGTTGAATGATTCCTGCCTATTATCATTAGGGGTGCGTGCAGTGAAGTTTAAGTCAAAGGTTAGTGCTTTGTGATAAGATGGTACACCAATACTCTCACACTCAGATACTGAAATGTTTATGACATGTTCACAAATATTCGTGAGGAGCAGATCCACACAATTATTCAAGCGGGTGGGAGAGTCGATTAGTTGGAAAAGGTTGTTATCTGAAAGGCATTGACAGAACGTGAACGATGCGGAATCGCTGGAATCACAGAATCCAGATCCATCAAGCCAGGTTATGGTTGGCAAGTTAAAGTCTCCGAGCAAGATCACTTTGCTGTAGGTACACTCATTCAACGACTCGACGATGTCATAGATCCAGTTAGTATGGGCGCAGGGAGGTCTATATACCACAGCGACTAGAATTTTGCCACTGCTTCTTGTGTTAATTTCAATAGCCGAAAGTTCGATGTTATTGTTTTTTGTAAAAACAACAGGACTGCACCGTAAATTACTACGACTTGCTAACAAGACACCCCCGCCGCGAGAGATCGTTAGACTTTTACGGTCGCACCGAAAGATGTCATAATTCCAAGGTAACAGTTCAGAATCCGATATGTCACTTGTTAACCAGGATTCCGAGATAGCTACGATGTCATATTGGTTGGCATACACTGTATCCTGAAACTCCCGTAATTTGTTTCCCGATCTTATACTTCTCACGTTTTGATAATAACAGCGAAGAATTGATTGGTTATTTCCGTTAGTATGAATATGGGGGCGCGTTGAGTTTGGTCCAGGATTCGTTGCGATATCTCCCCCGAGCAGAAGAATAGCTACTTGCGAGATCTTGCGACTGATTTGTAGATCCAAACCGTAGCGATGTCGATTATTGCAAGATAGGGTAGATACCCAAACATAGCATAGTTTTTCAGGTAGCGCAGTAAGTTCTGAGCTAATAAAGATGTCTTTCGGTAGAATTTGACTAGTATAATGTACTCTTTTTGTTATTATTGACACACACAGAATGGAGAATAGAAGTAGAATACGAATTAGCATTCGTCCAAAGTTCACCAGAAAAATCCTGCAAAAAAAAAAGATTTTTGCATGTTTCAAAAGCCAATGTTTCCAGATATTGGATACAGGGAAACATTTCAGCAAACATTGAAACCACAAACTGATTTCCACGACAATGCCCGTAAGTTTGGCCAAAAGGCTTTAATAGTTAAGCGAATTAATTACATCAATCTTACTTTTTCACTTCTTTTTTACCATTTAGTTGGGCTATATATCACTAAAAATGAGTATTTTCGTGCAAAAACAGAAACAAATCTTTAAACAAATTTTAACTCTCCCCAGTCCTTTTTCACCTGTCAGAGTACAATTTTTTCTGAGATTTTAGGAAAAAATCATTTCGTGAAGTAAAAAAACAAAAGCTATCTCCTTTCAGAAGGAAAATATAACATGCCAGTTAACTGTACGATTCGCAACTGCAAAAGTAATGGATATTGTAGCAGTAATAAGGAAAATAAGCCAAAAATTTCATTTCACAGGCAAGTGTTTATTTTTGCAACAATGTAAACAATGTATTAATTAAGCCTTAGGTTGCAATAATTGTATTACACATCACCTGACATGGGTAAATATATAGTATTTTTTTTAAAAAATTACATACTGAAAACAATTGACCATACCAGGCATGCAATACAAATATATATTTACAGTAAAACTATGTACAGTAAAACTACAAACTGTAAGTACTCAATGACCACTTCCACAAGTGGCCTGAATGCCCATTAATAACAACAGTTCTACTGTATATCACAAGTTCCTAACAAGGCCCTGTAAAGGGCTCAGAGAAACAAATTGTGAAATTAACCCATTGATTTGCACTGTGCCCTACTTTATTGTCTAACGCCAGACAAGTTCACTTGTCAAGGGGAAAGCCCTGGCGCTCACTGGGTTAATTTAATTATAAAAAGCACACTATAAAATATAAAATTAATTACCCTGTCATATATCAAAATATGATACTATAACTACAAATGCATGTATATACAGGTTCCCTTTAAAAGATCCAATCATGCTAGAAAAATGGGAGAATGCAGTTATGAAAATAAACAACAATGGCCAAGTGTGGAGAGCTACTCGATACAGCTTCATATGCAGTAACCATTTTGAACGATTGGATTACATTGTTCCTCCAACGACTGCAGAAGAGACCTGTAGATTAAAAAAAAATGCAGTACCATCAGTATTTTCAATATTGGATATACCTAACAGCAGTGATCTTTCTGATACAGAAAGGAGACGGCTCGGGCTTCCTAGAAAACGTTCACTATCACCAGATAAATCAGACTTCATGTCACCTGCAGCAAAGATTCTACGTGAACATAATTATGCAAGATGCAACGAAGAACCACAAGATGATGAAAATTTAACCGAGGACGAGCAGGATGAAGAACCAGATAGATCTGAATTACAACAGAAATTAAGACAAAAAATTAAGGGTTTACAACAGCAACTGAGACGATCTAAGAAAAAGTTACAGAGCATGAAAGATCTCATTTTACATTTACAAGAAAAATTGGTCATAAGCACAGAACAGGCAGGTATACTCCATGCAGCATTTGACAACCTACAGTTATCGATTTTTCAAAATGCAAAAGACAACTTAAGCAGTACACCAACAGGTAGAAGATACTCTGACGAAGTGAAGGAATTTGCACTAACACTATATTTTTATTCTCCTAAAGCATACCGGTATGTTAGGTCTATAATTCCACTACCAAATCAATCGCTCCTTCGGAAGTGGTCATCGTCTGTTAACTGTGAACCAGGTTTTTTTAAGGAAGCATTTACTGCCTTGGCAAGTGAAGTCAGCAGAGATGCTATTAAAAAGGATTGCTGCTTGATTATTGATGCTATGGCCATCAGAAAACAAACAATATGGGACCCAAAGAAGGATTGTTATGCTGGTTTTGTGGACTATGGCCAGGGAGGACCGATCCTTGATGATCCGGAGACGTTAGCTTCGGAAGCACACGTTTTCCTGCTGGTTGGAGCTAGAAGCCATTGGAAATGCCCAATTGGCAACTTCCTTACTGATAAGATCTCATCTACACACCAGGCACAATTGATAAACATGGCACTCGAAATGGCAGCTGAGGCAGGGTTAAAGGTATGGTCTATAACGGCAGATGGAACGTCAGTCAACCTAAGCACTTTCCGGCAGCTAGGCTGTCAATTCGGCACAACATATGACACCATTGTTCCAAAATTTAAACACCCCACCACAGGAGAAGATGTATTTGTTATTGCAGATCCATGCCATATGCTGAAACTTGCTAGAAATGCATTGGCACACCTTGGCACAATTATTGATGGTGAAGGGGAAAAAATACAGTGGGAGCATTTTCAACAACTGTACATCCTTCAAGAACAGAAGGGATTGAAGATGGGCAACAAGTTATCACCCAACCACATCAAATTTGAAAAGCACGAAATGAATGTTCGGCTAGCAGCTCAGACGTTAAGCTCTTCAGTGGCTGATGCAATAGAATTTCTTGACATTGGTATGAAAAACCCCAAATTCCAAAACAGCAGTGGCACTGTCAAATTTATCAGAACAATCGACCGTCTTTTTGACATGCTAAATTCAAGAAGTCCAATTGGAAAAGGGTACAAACAACCACTACGACAATCGAAAAAGAATGTGTATGAGGAAATTTTGAGAACCACAGCCAATTACCTCCTTCAACTCAAGACAGATTCAGCCAGTCCACAGCAGCTGGCAACGCACAGACGAAAGACCTTCATAATTGGTTTTGTCGCTACCATCAAATCAACGACTTAGATGGCTGATCAAATGTTTTCAAAACCTGGTGATCCCTTCAAGTACCTGTTAACCTATAAATTTTCGCAGGACCATATTGAACTCCTGTTTTCCTGTATTCGATCGAAGGGAGGCTGGAACAATAACCCCAACTGCTTACAGATAAAGTATGCTTTACGGCAGCTGTTGATGAGAAATGCTGTAACTGCCTCTAAGAATGCCAACTGTATAGATTTCGAAGACAACAAAACTACTACAATCATTCCTATTCTGCACAAAATAAAGCATAGTTCACCACTTACAGAAATGTCCACCCAGGATCAGAATGCTGACATGCCAGATGCCCTGAATTCACAGGAAACAGCTGAAGAAAATTTCATGTATGAACAACTACAACAGAACAGCCACTCTGATTTTATATCTAATATATTGTTTTACATTGGGGGATTTATTGTCTCTAAACTTGTAAAGAAGCTCACCTGTCAAGCATGCAAAGAATGCATAGGCGTACCGGGCGGGGGGGGGGGCGTGGGGGCGGTAGCCCCCCCCCCACAGTTTGTTGGGCAGTCGGGCAAAATTCAATCAACAGTCGGGCAATTTTGGTTTGCAATAAAAAAGAATGGGACAAATTCTGTAAATTGTGTATAAAATTAAGGCCAATTTTGTGTGTTTTGGAAAATTTGTCTTATATTCCGAAAAATTTTGGTTGTCCGGAAAATTTTTTTGACCCCTAAAATGGAACACTGACCGAAATTTTTTTGGCGACGGGGAGGGGGGTGGTCGCTAAAATAATTCTGTACTAGTCGGGCACAATCCCGAAAAGTCGGGCAATTTTCTTTCCGCCCCCCTAAATTTTTCCTTCCGGTACGCCCATGAAAGAATGTCTTGTTGGTGAGGTTACTCCAGGCATGAAAGCATCAGATCACGATTATTGTGGACCATCAACCTACAGTCAAGTATCTTCAGCTTCAGCGTTTACTTTGTTTGTCAATAACGGCGGATTGCGTATACCATCAAAGTCTGTTTACACTACAATCGAACATTGTGAACATATCTTCAAGCTGTATGTCTGCCAGAAAGGCAACGGCATCAACAACATGAAAAACCTAAAATCCAAAATGATTCTGGAAGTTTGTCATAATTTTCTCCTGGACGGCAACAAATCTGTGTTTGCAGACCACGAGCTAGGTGCAAACGAAGATATGGTCGAAGATGACCACCAGGTAAAGCTCATCAAGTGGACAGCAGACAAATATTTTACATTGCGTCTCTTCACGTACGGAAAGCACTACAGCGAGACAGTCATACAAAATGGAATGCCCAGTGACAGGCATCATTTAAACAAGTTGATCTTGTTCAAAAATCAATAGTTATAACAAATAAGAGTAAAATAATATAATACTTATCTTTTAATTAATGATTCGTTGGCCTGAGTCCACAAATATAGCCGAAACTGAACCAATTCTTTGCTGTTGGAACGTTTGACTTTTCAGTCAGTAAAACAGTATAAAAGCAAAACGATGTTCTCGATAAAATAACTTTAATACTCGATTTATTGTGTCTTATTATCAACAAATATACTTTTTATTAGAATTGCTGTTAAAAGAGTTCAAAAATCTTACGTATTTCAAGTAAAAACCCCGAAATTTCTTGGTCTTTGAATCCACACTTGTGAAAATATTTTTAACACGCTTTCGGGCTTCGGCTTGCTCCGAACCTCGTGACAAGCCCACGCAAAAATCACGCGTGTTTTATACCTACAGACGAACGAGCTTCAATTTCCGCCATCTTGGCTTCAGGCAAGTATGGGCATTTTTATCAGTAGTTATCGTTCCAGTATATAGTAGAGTCACTGAGTAGAGTTCACTGTGTCATCCTCGTTCCCAGGGCTTCTCGGCTGCCTCAACGCAGGCAGCCGAGAAGCCCTGGGAACGAGGGTGGAATGATGTAATCAAAACAAACGTATTCGCGGAAAATGAAAATATTGGATTCTGATTGGATAATTGTCGCTCGCACATGCCTAAATACTAGATTGTTATGTATATAAATAAAGCTAGTTTACAGCAGCAAAAATCACAATAAATACACTTTTGATGCTTTTAAATCATAAATAATCATATTATAATGACTTATTTTAGCTTTTGATTTCATATAAAGGAAAATAAACCGATCGAAAATACAAAATAACAGCATTTCGCGTATTGACATTTTTCACAGTGATTTGTATGCATTAACTCTGGCACGCAAATTTACTTTCGTATAGTGAGCACATAGTTGTGTGCACATAATAGATGGAAATTCCGAAAATACCCTTCGATTGTGCATGAAATTCTGTATCAACAGCCCTAGTTTTCCTTTTTCATTAAAAAATTGAACCGAGATATTCGCCCTTTAATACTCTAAAACTCGAGTCTTTACCCTACTATAGGAATTTGTGTACTATAGAGTAGATGGAAAATCGGAGAACATCATTGAATTCGCCATAAAAATCAGCATCTTTTCATAGTAAATATCTCTAGTCAATTTAATAGAGAAAACTTTTTATTGCGTGTTTACCACCCAGCTGACTAACCATTTTACTAATTCATTATTAGCATAAGATAACGAAGATAACCACGGATGTCCCCAGTTAATAATGATTCAAGATGGCGTCGGGCAAATGTGCATTCCTCGATTTAGCCGCCGTAAAAAACCCTTACGCGAAATTAACCTGAAGTGAGATCTCTGTATGTACTTCCTCTGTGATATAGGCCTGATCGCAGATTATGGCGATCACGACTTTTGAGTGATGATATTTATAAATTTTCATTTACTTCGGGACACTTCGGCACTTCGCGCCAAATTGTAATTTACCGTGCGACATGGCATGCTGCTTCACAGCCATTAAATATACTAAAATTTCGGAAAATATTTAATACATACGAGCCGGGTCGTTGTAGGATTGCTATAAGGTCGTTGTAGGTGGTTGCAGCGTCGTTGTAGGTGGTTGTAGCGTCGTTATAGGTGGTTGTAGCATCGTTGTAGATCGTTGTAGCGTCGTTGTAGGCGGTGCATGGTTGTAGGTGGTTGTAGATCGTTGTAGCATCGTTGTAGGTGGTTGTAGGTGGTTGTCGGTCGTTGTAGGTGGTTGTAGGTCGTTCCTTACTTTAGTACCTACGGCGTGAGAAACGCTAATTGTCCGCCGGCATGAAATCCTACTACTGAATCCAGCCCGTGCCAATGGCAACAAACCTCGTGATATATTCAAATAAGCAACTGCTATATTGAATACTACATCACGTATCAACTAGAACAGATCTCGAAAAATCTGTACCAAGAAAATTCCGCTATCATGAACGAGAGTGTGAGAAGGCAGTCATTCAAAAATATCTGTAATACAAACATCGATAAATAAATTTAATCCCTTTTACCAACTGTCCATTAAATGCAATGGGAAAAACTCTTTTGCCGAAATTTTTACTTTCAATATATTACTTTAATTGAGCCCGCAAACAAATACATTTTTGTTCGCATGAGGATTGAGGAGCCGGTCGATTTGTCGAATTCAACACCGGTTTTGTAAAATAGAACTTTTTAATTATTTCAGTTCTTTTTTCTTGGTTTTATTAACAAGTTTTATGGCATCTGCTATTGATAAGGTTTGTAACCGAGTTAAATCATGATTTTGCTGTTGTGTTATAAACAATCTCGTCATCGATGCCATTGCAACGTGGTTGTGTACATTACGGTTTAAATGAATGTCTATTCATCTATCTTTTACCAATTCAATCCTATTTCCTGCTTTTAGGTGAAAAAGTATCGCGATGAACTTACTTCTAAGGTATAAATTCATCCACAATATTAAATTCTTCAGTAGTATTAAAGGTTTACTTTTCATAATCAAGTCCTGATCAATGTTAATAAGCCCTGGGGGAGGGGGGTATGGCATATGTGGGGCATTTGATCGTTTTTTGTTTCCCTACCCTCTGGAATTTGGTTGCAACCATCTCCCAAAGGTGAGCCCGTGGATATTTGAATTGAGCGACATCTTGCATCCCGAGGAGGAGCACATGTTGAGGACTGGGACAAACGACTTTAAAGCCTTTCACCACAAATATGTGTGGATGCAATGTTGTTGGGTCTGTTTCCGCATTTCCGGCCAGACTGCTAAAGGCTTGTCTGAATGATATGATTACTCGTCTATGATTCTTATTCTGGTGTATGTTATCAAATAATTGAAATCAACATATGGTAAAGACCAGGGCTGTATAAGTACTTGATCATTACAATTGTAACACATTACTGTGTACTCGTTACATTTGAAGTCATTTTAACCTGTAATTAATTACGTTTTTAGAAATGTAACGAAAAACGTAATTAATTACAAAAGCAAGGAACGTGTTCCTTATCCAAGGAGCAAATTGAAAATTCCTTTTCTTATTTTGTTAAAAATAAGAAATAAAAAATACAACGTTGTGACAAAAATTCAGAAAAATGGCTGAACTAATTTTCAACGAGATCACATGACATGATAGCCTACATGAAGTACTATTTATTGCTAAAGTGGAAACCACAATTGGTTCCGAGGCTGATCAGAGCACCAAATATTGGCAAATAAAGTTTTAAGTTTACATGCTTCGATTTGCATGTCAAATGTTTTAATATATTGAAATATCATCTTGATAAATTCTTGCAAATTTCATAGTTTAATTATACCGTTTTTATTTACAACCACTGTTTAAGATATTGTCTTATAATATATATAGTAACAATTTGCCGGTAAATGAATTTGTAATTAATTCCTTTTTTCTGGAGTAATTTTTAGAAGATTTTAATTACATTTTAGAAGAAGTAATTGTAATCAGGAATTTATTACATTTTAAAGCAAGTAATTGTAATTGGAATTAATTCCTTTTTCAGTTGTAATTTTGCAGCCCTGGTAAAGATGTTTTGCCATAAACTATAAAGGGGTTTTGCCACAGAAAATGTCAATTTGACTTTCTAGGTGGATGGGTTTCAACATTCAATGTTTTCTGTGGCAACTTGAGTATGGATGTAGCTCCTAAATTAGTGTGGATTATAACAATAGATCACTTAGGTCTGACAAATACACTAATTTGTGTGCTCTGCTTGACAACAGTGCAGTTAGGCTGAAAACATCCAGACAACATCAACACACACCAGCTGTAATACCCAAGTTATGCCCTTGGGGGGGGGGGGGCATATTTTTATCATATTAATTTCAATTTGGGGGGTGTTTCAGATGTTACATTCCTACTAATCCTACCATAAATATTCATATTGAAAATATACTGTAAAACCGAATGTTCAATATTTTGCTTTCACCCGGCCCTGACAATCTCCGATCTAAATGCAAAGCCCAAGTTGGATTCAAAAAGACAAATGGAGAATGAGGGCCTTTATGAGCTAAATTCAGGTCAATACTGCAATCTCGTTCCCTGAGCCTGCGATCCTCGGGAACAAACGTGAGGCTCTGGGATAATCCGTTTCAGGGAGGAATCTGATTGGCCGTTGATATGGAATGCGCAGTTCAATCTTATCCAGGATTCCTGCATGGTTTCCGGCAACAGATTATCCCAGAGCCTTGCGTTCCTTCCCGAGGATTGCAGGCTCAGGGAACGAGATTGGTCAACATTGTAGATTAGGTTTGATACTGTATCATACATCTGAACATTTCAAAACATTGTACTAAGTGTCTAAATTGAAATCTGCATTAAATGAAAAAAATAAGATGTTTGTTTTACCCTCAATACAATTTGGCGCAATCCTGCATTCAATCAGCGGTTAGCTGATTAAAATACTTCAGTTGAAGCAATGTTTGGGAAAAATAGTGTCTTGTTTGGAAAGGCGTGGATGCTGCATCCGTAGTATTAGTATTTAAAACTGTTGAAATCATCATCTCTCAATTTACATATTCTGTATAAAGGTGTTTGTTTGGGTGCCAGTCATATAGAGGGCAAAATTACTCGAATATGATTGGCTAATGATGAGGACATTTTTTCTTAATTCAGGGCAAAATTCCTTGACAAAATGTATACCTGATTGGCTGAGACGCAAGCGTGGGAAGTTTCTTGTTTTAAATAGCAATAGCTACAAACAATGGCTTATCGCTTTGTCGTTGCGGATAATGATGTTATTGAAGAATTAAAAACTTCTAGTGAAAACTTGTACACTAGAAAAAGTACAATTTATGGGATGCAGTATTTAAGAGATGGGCAGCATTAAGGAACATCGGCGAAGACATGGAGACATACGAGGTTCAAGAACTTGACAAGTTCACAATTTACTTACGAATAAATTTTGCCCTCTATGATTTTAAAACAAGTAATCGCATAGTTCCTCGTTAAATTAAGGTTTAATTTCACTTGTGTTTTCAATTCACAATTGAAAAACACAAGTGAAATTAAACCTTAATTTTACTCGCGCGAATTAAGATTTTTTCTGGCTTGCAATTATTTTCAAAATTCGTAGGCCATGCTAGTTTTGACCTACAAAATCCAATGTTGACCTTGAAGTTTTTTTCTAATATTTCGTCGTAGTGCAATTTTTTTTAACTGTTTGGTTTTTGTGTTTATATAATTTCAACAGGGTTCGCAGCGGTCTTTGAAATCCTTGAAAGTCTTTAAATTTGAATTCAGGTCTTTAAGGTCTTTGAAAAGTCTTTGAATTGTGTGAAAAAGCGAAGAAAGTCTTTAAAAGTCTTTGAATTCTTTAGTGAGGAATTGATTATACGATTTCCTAGTTAATAAAATAGATTGATTGAAGCAAGATTTTTGCAAATATCCACACAAAAAGGCGCATTTTAGGATGTGATTTGATGGGACTAATTACCTGGTAAAATTGGTGCTTACACTCGCAATTTTTCGACAGCTGATTACTCTCAAAGGTCTTTGAAAATAGGCAGAAAAAATCTTTGAAAGTCTTTTGGTCTTGGAGACTACGAACCCTGTTCAAACACTGCATTAAGAACTACATCACAGCATGATGGCCGTTACAAAAGGCATGGGCAGATAGTTCAGTTAACCCGTTGACAAAAAAAAAATATAGCCTACAAACAGGTGCTAAATAATTCAAATTTAAGGGTGGATTTCCCCACACTACTCTGTTGACGTAACCCTCGCGAACTCTGTGATTCATGCAAGATTATTTTCCCTGGACATCATTATCATCAAGTAGTATTTAAAGGTATTCCAATTCTAAATATTTTTTAATCATAATATTTTAGACTGAAAAATTGATAAAAGAAATTTTCCCTGCTAAAGTCATTCATCTTAATGAGTTCTTGGTATGTATAACTTACAGTAAATCTTCAATTACAATCAAATGACTGCTAAATTACAAGGTCCAAAGGCAAATGAATACTTTTTTCGCAAAGAGGTTTGAAAACTATGCCATTCAGAAAACTATGTTTTATGTACTTTATCTTGAAGACTAACCACAAACAATGTTTTTCATTGAAAAGCATTGTTTGTGGTTAGTCTTCAAGATAATTAATAAAAGTACATAAAAAAGTTTTCTGAATGGCATTTATCAGTAACCTGAAACTACGAGTAAGAACAACAAGCAGCGCATTTGCAATTTACAAACCCATAAAATTGTCTCCAACATTCCTTAGTCCGATCTCATCCAATCCAATATATAGCTACTTTATTATACGGTTTATGATACCGTGTCTTTGGAATGTTTGCTAGCCATATGGTACCAGCGAAATGTACGTACACAGATAGCGAGAGCACCGCGTACTTACAGTATACATATGGTACTTGCTAAAAATAAACAAGTACCAGACTGTGGTATTGCCATAGCTCTGGTACATATATAAATTATCGCTTCCTGAATCAGGCTGCTGAATTGCGGTACCCAAACAAAGCTTGGCATCGCTTTATATTTGCTGTGTGAGGATGTTAGTTTGTTCGGAATCATAAGCCTTGGTATTTGTTCAATATGCATGTCCTCACGCTTGTGGTGCACTTGATTTGCACATACTCCAGGGCATTGCATGCAGTACTATAATTATGTTTGCTTTGTTTTTCGGTTTGCTTCCCAAGCAAAAATTCGTCTTGTGGGAAACAGGTATAAATTATGAGCTCAATCTAATTGCAATGTTTACGCATGTCTTACGAATATAGCCTAATGTTTTGAATATATACTGTACCTACTGTAGTAATCTAGACGTGTAGCTTAGTGTGCTGTTAATGTTAAATTGCTCCTCGTTAAATTGTTCTCATATTTTATGTTTAACAGAAAGAGAAGTTTAACATAACAGATCTGAAGAAACTCGATACGGGTATTAATGTACCTGTAGTACATCCTTTGGTTTTGGCGAATGATATTCAGGTTTTTATTGATTGAATGTTTTTCCATATAAGTATAATTTTAGTACACACAGTTCGAATTCTTATCCGTCGGATCCAATCTTTTCTCAGTTTCAAAATCAATATATTTTGTAACGTTGCTTCAAGTGCAAGGTACTCAGTAACAATCAAAGGTGTTTAAAATGTTTTTATTCAATTCGAAATTTGAAATAGCAACCAAAAACGAGTTTTTCGTTCATGTTGATCACTGGCTGTCAACGTAAACCGATTTATGAGTTACCCCACTTGTGACGTAATATGCATATCCTCAATAAACTATTATTACACATATAATTATTACACATACCTATAATCCTGGGCAGAACATCTGCGATACTTCATAATATTATTGCAAATTTAGAAAAACCTCCCCCGTATGTACCCCCACCATTCAATGTTGATTGCATTCCCAGAATACGGATAAAGCAACTGCAATACGACCAACATTTTCCGGTTTAACAGTTAAAAAAGACACAGAGGAATGATTTTTGACCAGGATTGTAGTGTATTCAGACTGATTCAACAGCATAATTGTGTAATGAAATAATTTTATTTCAGCCTTCGACAAAAAAGAGAAAAATTGAAGATGAAGAACCGTTACATAAAACCGCTGTGCAAAATGGTGAGAGTCTTATGATTATTTTGTACAGTGTTTTACTACTGTATGCAAATAAAATTAGCGGAATTTGTATCGTTGTGTAAATAAAACCGGTGGATGTGTGCTGTACCGTCCTGGATATAGACTTGCCCACAAGTCGATCTCGAATAGCGAGCGGCGAAGCCGCGAGCCGCGAGATCGATTTGTCTCGCTTGCAGGAATTTGGATCTGATTAAAAATTCTGGCGCGAAAATTATTGCAGTTAATTATTACGCATGTAAGTTTCACAAAAGTTGTCGATTTCAGCTCAATTTGTAAATAGACTTTCCTTTGACTTTTCGGTCGTAGATCTCCGCTCGGCTCAAATTTGAAAACACAGTGATTTCTAATGACAATAACTGTTAATAGCATAAGCGATATCAATTTAGATTAAAATGCCGTATAGATTTACGGTAGATTTATACTCCTTTCTATGACTATATTTTCAAGACGATTTTTCTCCAAATTCCATGACACGTTGTGTTTACAATGCGGCAAAGGCATGGAAGATGTAGATAAGCGACGGCGATTCTTTCTTGGACATAAAAAGACGAATGTTTGCGAAAACATTGAACTATTACAGCAATAATTGGAAAAGTTCATTGTAGTGAAACTACGCTATTATTAAACATTCTAACAAATGTTGTTTGTCGTTCTTGTAGGGCAAGAATGCCGCTTTAGTTTAGAAAATTAACTCAGTTAAACAACAGTTCGCCTCTGTTGCCAATATTTTTTGCATCTTCGAGAACTAACCATATTTTCTACTTTGAAATGACTTTGTTTTATTGTATATTTGTATTAAATAAGTCAAAAGCCTAATTACTGTAACGATATTTGAATAATTAATTTAAATAATTTAAATATGCGTTTTTTATTGGCTAGAATGATGACACACCCTCAATCACACCTCGGTAAAAATATCCACCGGTAGATTTGGCGCGCTGCAAGGGTGAAAAGTCCTTTCCAGCGTACTTACGAACCGAGAAAAAAAAACTGGAATGGACTTTGGGAAAGTCTATCCTGGATACTGTTCTGTCAATTGCCTTAATTATCACTGTACTGCCTACTTTGTAGTAATAATAATACAGTTAATGTTTTTGGCATAAATAAAACTCACTTTATCGCTGATATGTTCATATACATTTGGGCTTAAATAACTAAGCTTGATGCTTGTGATGTTACTCTGAGTGTATATCTACACCGGGCAAGCTTGAAAAATATGCCTGGCCACGATATATTCCTGGCTAAAAAGAAGATTTAACTGGATCCTATTACCACAGTATGAAAATAAAGAAACTGTGCTGATTTTCTAAGTTTTAATTTCATTAATTATATATGTTCTTGTAGGTCCACTCAAAGCAATTCCTTTAAACGAGGTAGGTCGCTGCAATGTTCACATCCTTGTAATCTATTTTATAAATAGTTGGCTACTGAGCGTAAAAAAAATCCAAATCCATCACATATCACATCACATCACATCAAAAAGTAATCTATATTCAGTATATTGTGTATCTACACTGAACGAGCAGGGGTGTAGTAGAGGGCGATAGGGCAAGGCTCAGCCTTGCTATAATTTAATTTGGGGGATGATTCCCCAATATTACCTCAAAACTATAGTGTTTAAATGAAACGATAATGTGTTCTTAATATATTAGAGACATAATAGCTTAGCCCTACTTGCAGTCCCATGCAGGATATCGACATAAACGATGTGAAAATAACTTTGCTAAATTTTTAGTTAAATCGTTCTTTAGAAACACTAATTGAAGAATTGCTAGAACCAAAAATAGATACTGAAACTTTCCATGTTTATCATGTTGACCCTTCACCCTGCTCATCATCGCAAAATGTTATCGTTTTGTTTTACCTACAAATAAAGAAAGCTGGAAAAAATCCAACCATTAAGTTTTCGGGTTAGAGGTGTGACGGATTGAGATTTACACTCACCTGATTCGAGCTCGAGATGCCAACAAAAGCTTGATATTTGCACATACCCTACACGTGGCAGTTCCCTAGTATATATACATGAACTTGTGGTCAGAGCTCGACAACTGGCCTCTGTAGCTCAGTTACGTTGGTTAGAGCACTGCACCGGAATCCCAGGGCCGCAGGTTCGATTCCTGTCAGGGACCTAAAGTTGAATTTTTCGCTTCTGTTCCTGGTTAGGTCTAATAAATGTATATAAATTTCCACTCGATAATTTCCATCTACAGTACCCTTCAACTAATATTAAATCGAGTGAGATGCCAAAAAAATCTTGATATTTTATTAACAACAGCTATTCATAACAAAAGGGAGTATAAAAGACTTACAAAAAAGTAAGTAAAACATCTTTGGAAAAAAGCACTTGAAGCAAAGTTTTTTTAGCAAAACGACGACGAAAAATCTGTCAGTGCTCACATTAAGATCATTTTCATTAGAATTATGTGTAGGTTCTTAATAGCCAATTTCAAACGAAAGGGCATCAGCATTGTATAGTAAAAACATTGTTCTGCTGCTGTACTATATTCTTTATTCTTCAGCCTCTTGTGGATCTTATTGAATCATTAAAACCAGAAATTCAAGATTTGATGGAAAACTGTAATTCGGTAAGCAAAACATAATATAGAAATTACGTTTAGTGTCTGCATGGTTGGCGGCGTATCAGATTGAATTCCTCTACTAGGGGTATGATGTACACTATACGAACCTAAAGTGCACCTAGCCCCAATTTTTCTAACATCTCATTCCTATAAGAACCTTTGAAATGATATTGTAACTTCTTTTGAAGATATTCGTTTGCACACTTTGTCTCTGTTATTTCAGTTTCATTGATATGCAAATGTCCGGAATTTACGTCACATATGAATCATGCTTGTCAGATGTTGGGATCCTAGGTAGCGGTGCTACCTGCAAGTGCCTGAAGCTAACTTATCCTTGGTCAGAAGGTTTTATGCATGCATGCTTAAGTAAAGTAGAAAATTTCAATTTTTTTGAATACATTTTGCAACATTTACCGACCATGCAGTTTTAATAAGAGTCGTACTCAACACGTAAATTCATCAAATGATGCCATCAAAAACTTAAAATTTCCTGTTCTGTGGCTGAATTTTATTTATCATCCGATCAATCTTGTCGGTTTGATATATTAAAATTTTCGAGCAATTGGGTTTGAGCAAATTAGCGGACATTCAATTTTGACAATATGAAAATTTCTTCGGTGCTTGGTCGCAATTTGCAAGATTGAAGATTCAAGTGAAACGGGCGAGTTTGGACCACTCAGGGCTAACTGCAAATTTTCTTTGGCTACCTGCAAAAAACTAAACATATAGAATGTAAGGTACTGTTAAATATCATGAAATAAAAAGGCTGAATGGTGTTTTACACAGGTATGTAATCCTCCCACAACTCCAAACTTCATTTTAATGAATTAAACTCGATAGTGAATAAGATATACAAGCTTTTACTTTAAATCATTGTGCATTTGTGACGTAAGTTCCGGATATTTGCATACCAAACAAACTGAAATATGAGCAAACGATAATCTTCAAATTAAATTATTACTCCGCCTGCTCATGCGCAGTGCGGAGTCTAAAAATGCCTGAGTCTGTTGTCGGTTGTCGACTGTCGTGTGGTGTCACAAACAGGCTCCTTGATAAATGTGTACATTCCATGATATTTAGATACTTTCTATTGACATTTGTGGATAATGTCATACGATTTGGCAGCGCAATGCGCATGCTTACAGCTCTGCTTACAGTATTTTTCTAAACTGCGAACTGCGAAACGGTCTTGTGCGATGAAAAATACTAAACGATGAAAAATACTAAAAAGATGAATGTCAAGACAAAGCTTCCAGACTCAACTGAGGTAAGGGATACTAAACATTCTAATTTTGGTAGTACATGCTGCATTTTGGCAACAAGAAATTCTTTAAAGTCATAAATATAAATAAAAATATTCACTCCTACTGTATGTCGTATTAAATGTCGATCTTATATTCTTGACTAGCAAAATATATTCTTGTGTGAAAGGTCCCTACAATGTTCTGAAGAGTTTAGGCTATTTAGTGTTGAGGCTATCGGGTTATTAAATATATTTCAATGTTTTGAAGAGTTTAGGAAATGTAGTATTGAAGCTGTCGTGTTTATAATTTACTATACATGTTTAGTACGCAACTACCGGAAACGGCAGCCATGTGGTAGTATTAAGACAAAGAATCTCATTATGTTTTACTGAATTTCGCACATTCTTTTAATTCTCAAGGGATTGGTTGCAAGACAAGAATATAATCTATGATATATAGTCATGTTAACAAATAATAGAAACGTCAGCTTCTTGAACTCACAGCCAGCTTGGGTTTGCTTGCTTTGCTCTTTCTACTGCCCTTGTGTGTTATGCGTGAGTCAATTCCTGGAGTAACCATCCCCCCCGGGGACACCCCCGGGAATTTGCCCGATAGACAGTTCACGGGGGTCGGGAATTTACCTTTCATGTATGTGCACGGGGGCCGGGTATTGGAGGACCCCGGGGATTTGACAAATGGTTGACCAAAATCCCACCCACAAATTTTAAGGCAGCAAAACCTAGTTTCAGGCACGCATGTGGGCGCGCTGATCGTATTTTGCGCCCTCGTGGTCAAGGTGGCGTGAAATTTATTGTAAGAATAAGCGAAAATTATACCCTGTGCCATGCAAATTTAAATACAACTATTAAAGGTTTATGTTTTATAATATTCCATAGCAGTTTAATACTATAATGTTATTAAATGACTATGATTATAGGCCATTAAAAGTTTAATTAACGTTTACAGTCGATTTCACGAAACTTTGACCACAAATTTTCCGAACTTCGTTGCGAAGTTCACAAGATTGTTGCGAAGTTCAAAAGTTCATAATGAGATTCACAAACCAGTTCGTAAACTACGCATTTGATTGGCTTCTTTTACTTCACGGACCAATCAGGGACTTTGTTTACAAATTGGCTTGTGAATTCCAAATTGGCTTGTGAATTCCAACGAACTTCGCAACGAAGTTCGGAACATTTGTGGTCAAAGTTTCGTGAAATCGACTGTAAAATCGTCGCCGGGGTGGGGCATTTTCCACTCTCAGCTTGCCCAGGGGCCGTGCATTAGTCTTCAAATTGTGTCCCGGCACCCGGGCATTTACACTATCATGACCAATCAAATCAAAGGCCCGGGTGTGTTCTCCGGGGGGGGGATGGTTACTCCTGGAATAGACTCATGCATTAATAGATTATGTGTTGTGTAATGTATTTAATTCAACCCTACTAGGACTCTGGGCAGAATACCTACCAAGCCACTCAAACATGCTTTTTGGGCCTCTATTATTACAATGATGGGCCAAACAGAATTGGTGTGTCAGAATTAATATCCTATTTCTGTCTCTTATAGGTTATGGCACTTTCTTATGAAAATTCAAAGAAAAGTAAATGCCATTGCTCCTTTGAATGCCAAGTTAACTTTGAATGCCATGAATGCCAACTTAACCTTGAATGCCATGAATGCCAACTTATCTTTGAATGCTATGAAGACCAACTTGTCTTTGAATGCTTATATTTGGCTTCACTTTTCCGTCGCACCCTACATTGTCCCCATTTTCTCCGCAGGCTGGCAGGCGGAGTGAACGCCTGAGTAGGCGTCTTGTTATATATAATTTCAGAAGTTCTTAAGAATGAGATGATAAAATAATTGAGGTTAGGTGCACTCTAAGCAATGTTTAACCTATGAGACAAAAGCAGTCAAAACTGAAGTGACCTCTTCATGCATTTTCTTTCTCAAATATAGGTTAAAACGTGGATTCAACTGCTCATCCCGCGAATTGAAGATGGAAACAATTTTGGAGTTTCAATTCAAGTAATTTCCTATCTCTAATATACTCTCATTGTTTAGGATAATACAGTATACCGGTGTTTTTATAAATTGACTTTCGCATTTCGTTTTCTATAATGAGTGGTCTTTTTGTCTCTAGTGTAATAGACAATATCCAAATTACGCTCTCATTAGGGCCATTTATACGAGACAAAATAAGACGCGACTTACATAAGACGCGACTTAAATAAGACGCGAGTTTGTCGTATAAAAGGCACAAAATTCTTATGTAAGACCAAGGGAGCACGCCAGAAATATTTGTGTAAATTTATACTAACCTTTTAATTACATGTAAATGTTTTCAATTTTCATTGGGCGCCATTTTGAATGTTGAAAGCGGTATTAGCTTATCGCAGGCGCAATAATTTATGTTCATCTTTGACATTAATTTATGTTACACGATGATACTCCGAAGGGCGACCGAGAAAGATCCGAAATTTAAAATAAGGCGGAGAAATAATAAAAAATAAAGAGGGGAGTGAAACGGCCGAACTATTATCCACTGATGCTGGTTGACTGTTACTAGGAACATTTGATGTTGCTAGGAACAAACCGGAAACAAAATGAGACCTACTATTACGGGAACCACTGAGTATTTTAATATAATATACTGTAGAACAACAAATATAATATAATATACTGTAGAAAATAATTTTTTTTTATTATTTTCGGATTTACCGTTGATTTATATTTGATCTACTATAATTAGTTCAAGGGAGTCACATTAGAATATATTATTAAAATTGGGGACAATGGCGAGAGTTTGTATATCAGATAAACATCGGCTGCTCGTGTTTTAACGTGCTTAAAAGACGACCCATCATATGAGTTCATTGGCGAAGTAATTTTAAAATAAACATTGTCTAAGCCGAGAAAATCGAAGCTGAAGTTTATGTAAATCCCTCGATGTAAATGAGGACAATTTACAAATCTATTATCCGACGATTTACATACATTGATTAAACATTCATTTCTTTTGAATTTCCTTCATGAATTATTAATACTGTATTTTGTGTCCAGCATTCGCAAATGTATTTGTTTCTCTGCTGTCGAAAATTCACTGCTGGCGAGCAACAATGCAAAATAAATCAATACAAGTTTTGATATATTTCAGATTCGACAGTTCTTGGTCAACGAGCATGGCCAGATAACGAAATTGGATATACGCATTGTCATTGGCCAATACCCCATCACGTGTTCGGCCGTTTCACTCCCCTCTTTATTTTTTATTATTTCTCCGCCTTATTTTAAATTTCGGATCTTTCTCGGTCGCCCTTCGGAGTATCATCGTGTAACATAAATTAATGTCAAAGATGAACATAAATTATTGCGCCTGCGATACGCTAATACCGCTTTCAACATTCAAAATGGCGGCCGATGAAAATTGAAAACATTTTACATGTAATTAAAAGGTTAGTATAAATTTACACAAGTATTTCTGGCGTGCTCCTTGCTTAACTGTGAAACTATTGAAATCTAAAGTGACATTATTCAACACATGCAAAAGCTGAAAATAGACGTGACACTGGGAAAAGTAAAAAAATGCGGATGGAGCGGATCCACGGAACGGATATGCGGATAAAATACAGAACGGATGAGGATAAAATGCGTCCTTTTAATGATGTAACGACGTAGTGCTTATTATTCATAACATATCTTATACAGCTATTTCAATTATAATTTTAGATAAATTTAGCATAGCATTAGCCTCGTGGGGATGCGTTTAGCGACAGCTGCAAACGCAAATGAAAATTTAGAATATGCAAATTTTGGTTGTTGGTGAAACAATTTAAATTTTGAATTGTCTCGTGTAGCATCACAATAAATAGATAAATTGCATCAGTTTCACAAGGCACGTTTCTGGTGTGTTAGGCTTGTTTCAAACGTCACGCTACTCGTGTGCCGAACGTATTAAAAGCAATAAATGAGATGAAATGCCTTTAGTAACTATTTATTTCGTAGTGTAAGCCATCAGCTTTTCTAGGTTGTCAGCGACTCTATATACTTCTTGCAGTGTCTTTTTCAATTTGAAACTTCACACTATCCTTGGATCCCTAGTTATACTCAAGGTTATACAGTATGCCTTACCACTTACCAGTTTAATACTAATAATGATATTCAATAGATTCATTCATTACATAGAATCAGAGTGTCCAGCATAATGAGCATTTAGTGCTAGTGTATCTCATTCAGGGTAGTATTACTTTGTTTCAAAGTTTTCCATTGATAATCGACTTCACTAGAATACCCAGTAAAGTATACAGGAGATGAGGGACCATTATATCTTATCCTCAGAAGGCAGTTTAAAAATACTTGCGACATTTTGCTTCTTAACTTGGTCTTTACTATCTTGAGCTGACTGAACATCCTCTCTGCTTCAACATATGTCAAAGGAAGTAAAATCAACACTGTCGCAAGAAAATAGGAATACCTATCTGGAATATCACCTGGTTTTGACTTTAAGATCCATTTCATGAAGTTGCACAAGGAGGCATCTCGACGACGATACATGAATGCATTCCACTCCTTCCTATAACTTTCGAGTTCTGTTCGTAGGAATGGTGAGTCAAATCCAACTTAGCTCAAACAGTAGTGGTCACATATTACTTAATTGATCTCATATTTCAGATGAGCTTCATGTTACCTGGAACCAGCTAATGAACTTGGCTAGTGAAGTAACTAGTGGTTGGATATTACCTAACCGCTCAACAACATTAGCTGTAACTTGCTTTACAAATTCTTTGTGATTTTTGTCCTTCAGAACATCTCTGTCTAATCTTCCTCTCGTGTTCCTCCCTCCCCCAATGTCTAAATTTGCACATGTTACCTCCACGAAATTATTCTAACTGTTCATGTGTTCCCCTACATTCTTGATTAATTCCTCAAGTTTATCTAAGCATAATAATCATTAAAGTGTTCTGTAGTCAAATCCTTACTGGTCGTGTATTGCTACTTTTGACATAATGTGAATACAACTGGCAAGATATCACGTAAGGCAATCATCAAACAATGTTCTTTTTGGACAATAATCCTTCAACTAAGCCAGCAGCCACACTATCATTTGTCATTTCACCAAAGTTGTCTAGCTCCGTAAATTTGGCAACTTCATCTACTTTATCTGCAGGATCTTTGACTGTTAGATTCAGTCGATGAGCCAAACATAAATAAAACATGCTATACAGGTTCCACTTTTTCAGCCATGACTTGACACCATTAGCTTCTCCTACATTAGTGTTGCACCTGTCAAAACCATTGCTACGACTTTGGTCATTGACACCTCAAGAGTTGTTTCCACAAAATGTTTCAATGCATGGGCAAAACGGAAGCAGTACCATTCTCCACTCTTACCATTTCTTAAAAAACCAATGAGGTGAGTAATTTTTCAGGCAACCAAACCAATGCCAACACTGTCACGGGTGCATTCTACCATACATGTATCTGATGTTAATGGGCGAGCTAGGCATTTTAATGATTCACCAACCTCCTCAGGTTGGCAGTATCTGTAGGATTTTACCTTTTCACCAGGATGTCTCTCTGATTTCCTTCTTTCTTCATCAGTTATTTGTATTTCATCAAGATGCACTCCATTCTCTTCCTGTAGATACAGCAAAGAATCTAAACCATCACTAGGTGGATTATTTTTCTTTGCACATGTGTACAGTGTCCTGAAGTATTTTTCCATCACCTCAGTTTTCTTTTGGCGAGAAATTACTTCAGCAGGATTGTTCAGTGTTTCAATTATTTCTACTTGACCCTGCTTTGTTTCCCTCCTTTTCTTTTGTGCATTAAAATGTATATTGCTCATGTTCCCGTTCACCAAAATGTTTTCGAATTTTACCATTCGCTAACTTTGGCCAGGTTCTGAAATATATGGCCCATGCTTAAAATGACTGTATTGTTGACAAATGGTGCAATAATAACCATCGTCAGGAACATATTTCAATCCCCCAAAAATACTTAACCACTTTTCTTGATGGCCACTGATATCACCTCGTTTTGTTTTACATGCTTGGAATTCTGACCAGCACCATCCTTTCTACTAATACAGGTCAAACTAGACGAATCAATATCCTTATTTCCTGGTTTGCTGTAACACATGCCTCTATATTTAGTTTTTTTGCAGGTAGCCAAAAAATTTTAAGTTAGCCCTGTGTGGTCCAAACGTGCCCGCTTCGCTTGAAGCTTGCAAATTGCGACAGGGACCGGGCACCGAGGTCGAAGAAATTTATTTGAGTTATGTTTCATATTATCAACATTGAGTGTCCGCTAATTTGCTCAAACCCAATTGCTCGAACATTTTCATATATCAAGCCGACAAGATTGTCGGCTGATGAATAAAATTCAGCCACAGAACAGAAAAGTTTTTGATAGCATCATTTGATGAATTTACGTCTTGAGAATGAATCTTATTAATTAAATTAAATATGGTCGGTAAATATTGCAAAATATAAGCGGAAAAATTGAAATTTTCAAATTAATTTAATTTAAATTAAGCATGCATAAGACCTTTTGACCAATGATTGCAGATAGCTTCAGGCACTTGCAGGTAGCGCCGCTACCTAGGATCCCAACTTCTGACAGACATGCTGTAACATTTGCACTGATTTCGACTATTGCAGCTGTTGTTTTATTGCTAATGTTCTCATTTGGCAAGGCTGAATCACATTTTTCTTCATCTGTCGTTGTTGTCGATGTTGTAATGTTGCTGTGTCTGTGTCCGATGTTCTTGATGTTTCGGAATTATTTTTTTCCTTGTTGTTGTTGTTGTTGTTGTTGTTGTTGTTGTTGTTGTTGTTGTTGTTGTTGTTGTTGTTGTTGTTGTTGTTGTTGTTGTTGTTGTTGTTGTTGTTGTTGTTGTTGTTGTTGTTGTTGTTGTTGTTGTTGTTGTCAACAACTTCTGCATTCTTATATTTTTTATTGAAGTATCTATTCATCTTTGTTTGTTCCATATGGGATTTGCGCTTTTGATTTCTATTTGTGCCCTGATTAAAACTCATTTTGGTTAAAGTAGAATAATAAGTTGTTTTGTCTTTTTAAGTCTTTGCATTTCTTTGCATTGCCATTAGCCAAGCTTGCTGTGTTTCCACACTCAAATAGATATTTCATTTTATTTCACTTTTTCAAAGCCACTGATCTCTATAGATAATATATGCCACTGATACGTGTCACAAGGGCCTGCAGGCCAGCAAAAGAATTCCAATAATTCAAAAGTTTCAAAGTAAATCATCAAAAATGCCCCCCCCCCCCGAATTTTGCTATTTTCAGATTTGGGGTGAATTCCCCCATATTCCCCCCTGCAAAATACCTCGGAATGAAACTAGCGGAGAAAAACTTAAAAGCTACAAGAATACACAAAAAACTAAAATAGAAAAAACCTATACGAAAGCTAAACAAATTTCATTATGAAAGTGATTCAAATAAAAACTAGCTGTTTGACATATCTTTGGCGAAACACGAAAAATGTAATAATGATAATATTAGCAAATGAAAACAATTTAAAATAGCTCGACGAAGTACCTCAGGCTCTACGGCATTCGTGCCAAATCCGGCTTGTAAGATGCAGCAAGACGACAGCAAATTCGTCTTTTTATCACATGCAGTGATATATTTTTGCCATTTTCTAAAATTTATGTTTTTGTTCCTTCGTCCGCCTGAAAATTGAAGCTTGTTGCCAAGCAAAGAGTAAAAGCATTCCTGTGTCGTCACTGATTACATGTTAGGAGAATTTCAAAATCGGTCTTTCAAATGAAATTGCTTACTGGGTAATATCTTCTTATATTATAAAAGAAATAGAAAAACTCGTCTCGTGCATTTATAGTGTGAAAATGCACTCGGGAAATGTTGGGAGAATACTCGAAATGCGTCTAAAACACTCGGCTACGCTTCTCACTTGCGGCACTCGCTGGAAGCAAAACAAAGTCTGTCGAAGTAGTTTGAAATTGAAATATTGGCTTGATTTAAGTTCCCACCCATCCTGCTTTTTCTGTACTGAGGTCTATTGGTCTATATTCAAGAAATAGGAAACGAGTTGCGTGCGTTTATTGTGTAAAATGCACGAAGGGAATATTGGTACAATACGGTAATATATAAGTTAATCACTGGAAAAAAACTGAAAATCCATAGAAGGTCATAGAATGGAAATTGTATGGATATACTATGGATTTAGTGGTGCAATTGCAAATTTCATACTATGGATTTCACATTTCTTCCCAGTGAATGCTGCATTGTTGAAGCCATATTTGAACGTGATATGTGAATTATTTAGTAAGGAAATAGAATATATTCCATGTTTTCTTTCATTTTTTTCTAGTGTACATGTAACATGTAAGCGATGTGGTGGAGCTTATGGCGGGAAAATAATTCGTGCTTCAGCCAACTCAACAGCATGTGCTGTGGCTGCCTACGTCACGAACAGGTAACTTTCAAGAGATGACCTTTTTCATCTGTTTTTGACTATTTCTTCTCGAGTTTAAATGTTCATGTGTTGTTGATGCTTCCTTTCCCCAGCAGGATATAAACTTCACGAACCTGAAATGTCTTTCTTTAATTTGTCTTTTAACCAATAATATTAATTGCAAGAAAAACTGCTTGTTCGAAACTTGAACTCGAAGTTCCGCACCATAACCAGTCCTATGGTGACGCGTAGCATGACCACTTTCCATGTTTAGCTGGGCATGCTGCTCTTGAAAACTTGTGCGTTTTGGAAGCCTCGGCAGAGCGTTTTCTGTATTTCCTGACAGGAATTTTAATGAAAGTTGTGAAGTTTTTGCATTCAAAAATTCATGCAAGATTTCACACTTGATACCTTTTTTTACAACTTCATCCCCAGTTTTGAAACAACGGTCACCCTGTGTACAATTACAATCATGAATGAATTGCTTTTGTTCCTGTTGATATATACACAATGTCAATGTAACGAGAATCTGTACAGATGAGATTATTGTAACTCCCTGTGGAAGAAAGAAGTGAAGTATTCAAGTTTGCAATGAATTAAGTTATCCTGGATGAGGATATTACTGAAGGTTATTACTGACCAAAGCTACCGACGGTTTTGAATGAACACATATTATCAGACATGTTTTCACTCTGTATTTCAGGCCAGTACGACTTCGAATGAACTTCAAAACCAACATGGAAATGGTTGGAAAAAGATTTCCTTATCTGGCGAAGTACAAGGTATAGTCCTAAACGAACACCGCTGTCCGCGTATTGACTTCTTGCACTGGAGTGACTGGAAATACTATATATTGTCTTCAGGAGAGTATAAACTTAGTATAACTTCGTCTTTACCCTATTTATTAGCATGAATTTTCTTAATTTTTTTTCTGGGCTCAATGGACGTACCTATTTCCTGATGAACAAAATTTTGATATCAACAAGTCCAGACATAATTTCACCACAGCTTCAAAGAGCATCACAAAATTAGTAATATTCCGAAGTTTGGTTGCGAAATGTTGTAAAATGCGGATAATATAGCCCTGCGAAGTTTGCCGTTTTTCAGTCATTTTGTATTACGCACTGGAAATTGATACCGCTTTCTGAAAAAAGGTTGTATTGTTTGTATCATCTTTTTATTTCCTGACTGATGATTATTGATTTCCTGACTGATGATTAAGTTTTCTAGGGAGGAGGAGGGGGCAATTTTCACTGTTTAAGCTACCGAATTTTGAAAATTGAAAAAGAAAATCGCACTAGAAATCGCAGCAAAAATTGCAAGTGTAAACGCGTCTTTATAATTATATCTGTCGCAGATACATGTACGCTTAGCGTACCTATTTTTTATACATGTTGCAAATTTTTTCGCTAAGTAAAATTTGTGGCTGCCTGTTAAAAACAACATTTCCCAATCAAGTTATTCTTGGTGGTTTTTGTGTTCTTGTGTTTACTTGAAAAGTTTTTCCTTGTACCCGCAGAGATTTCACGGGCGTTGTGAAAATCCGGAATACCGGAATATCACGGAATATGCCTGAATTTCGCGGTTTATGCCGGAATATGGCGGAATTTCGCGGAATACGCTGGAAGTGGAATATCACGACATTTTCTGGAATTAACCTGAATTGTCCGCAATTCAGTAAATACTAAGTAATCTTGCATTTATAATACTCGCCAAAACCGTTATCTTTATACTATATAATTAAAAAATTGCTCATACTAATCATCAGCCAGCTGTGTAAATGGCACGTTTTTATCAAGAATTATAGACCATGTCATTTGATGCGCGGTTGAAACTCCGAACGGATTGTTGTTCTCTCTAGACCGGCAGCACCATGGCAGCGCATCGACTGATTTTAATATGGCGGTGTCAGAGGAGTCGCAGTACGATGTCATGTATAGAACGGGTCGATCAAAGTCAAAGATGCAGTCAATTTTAACCTTGTTTTTGTGCTTATATTATTTAACAAAGAAACAGAGTGATATACAGGATATAAAAAAGCGCCTGTGGTCATGATAGTTTTGATATAAATTAGCTTACACATTTTATTAAAAATAACTCAATAGTTACAATACCGTATACTAATAACTCAATACCTAGGGTTGTATAAGTATAAACGATAATAGGGTCGTATAAGCATAAACAACTCGCATCTTATATTGCCATATTGTTGTAACTGTAAAATAGAAATTTTAATGTCATGATCACATGCTCTGACGGTACCCGGACATTTTGCCGAAAGACATTTTGCCGAAAGACATTTTGCCGACGGACGTTTTGCCGAACGGACATTTTGCCGAACGGGCATTTTGCCGAACGGACAGTTTGCCGAACGGACAGTTTGCCGAACGGACAGTTTGCCGAACGGACAATTAATTTTTCAAGGACATATGCTCGGAACTGGTTAGTTCCCTGACCTCAGAATGACATTTCGTCAAAACTTTTTTCTTCAAGATTGGTTTAGAAACAAACTTGGAGTAGGGTTAGGTTAGGGTTAGGATTATGGTTTGGGTTAGAGTTGGTGTTTGGAATAGGGTTAGTGTGAGTAAAACCGTTACTGCATGTGTTACGTTTTGTCACTTTGAGGTCAGCGAAATAACTTCTTCCCATATGCTCAGGGTATGCACAAATTATGGATGTTGACGCCATTTCGTGTGGCCACCCAAGAAAGAGGAAGATCGGTGGTATGGGAACAGAATGCCAAATGTTTCTGAAGCACCTTGCTGATAAGCTTTCACGAAGGGACGGGGAACCTTACCACGCAGTCATTTCATGGCTTAGAACACGCTTATCTTTTGAGATTTTAAGATCGGTGAACATCTGTGTCAGGGGATCTAGAAGGCCCTTTAAGAACGCAAATGACTTCATAGATGATTTTAATGTAAATGCTAATGCAGCAGAAATTTTTTAGATACTTTTATAATGGACTATTTATATGGATAATTCTCTTTTTTAACTATACAACTAGTGTGAATATAATATATGTTTGTAATACTTGCATAGGTAAGTTTAGAATTATGTTTCAGTGTATATTATGATAATTATTCCACTTGTGATATTATATTTATATAGATTTTTAAATAAATTAACGGAGTTATATAAATAAGATCAACAGATGTTGGTAAAATGTAGATGTTGGAATGCTGTTTGTTACAATGGAAACGTTAAATGCCTTAAATATCAACTTGCTATTAAGTACCATATTCGTACATAGTTTCGCGGATTTTAAGCATGCGCGAATTAAATATCGTAGTCAAAAATCATAAACTTCTTGATAGAAGAAGGTTGCTTCCTCCAGAAGATCCGTTTGAGGATCTCGATGTATCTCACGAGTAAAGGCTGTGGAAGGTAGTTGACTTGTAGTCGAAGTCGTAGTGTAGTTTTTTTATTTAAAGAAAATTTAATGTTGTTGAGAATGCTTTCGCAAAATTTAATGCCCTTGTTTTAAATTCGGCCACCAAAATGCTGAAAATAAAGTCTCGAGAAATAATGCCTCAAAAAAATCGCGAAATTACAGTCGCGCGAAATTCCGTGATATTCCGCGAAATTCCGTAATATTCCGTAATAAAACGGCATATTCCGTAATATTCCGTGATATTCCGTGATATTCCGGCACTCCAGGTTTTCACAAAGCCCGAGATTTCACCATGCTTCCTTGTTCTCTTAAAAACCCTTGGAAACCCTCACCTCTGATTTCGAAACCTCTCAATTAACTGATATATGATAATTATTTGTATTTAATTTTGCCTCGACTTTTGTACGTTAATAACACAATGAATTGCCTAAAGCCAGTTTTCCACTTAAATTTCAAAATTTAGTGAATGTTGATTGGTTAATACTTTCGTAGTACGCCAAAAAGTTGACGTGCGACGAACTTTTCATTTTGATACGTGAATACACCCAGAAGTACGTGGATTTATCAACCTCTTTTCAGTCTACGCATGCTCACCACTCACCAGTACGTTTCGGTACGGTACGGTACTGTACGGTTGAAGTGGAAAACTGGCTTACAGTCCAGTCCGGCCATTAGAAGATAATGAGCTTGTAATTACCACGCATGAGCGATTAAAAGTTAGCGTAGCTGTCGTTCACCCTAATTCATTGAATTTTTTATAGGTTGGTGTTACTAGCGAAGGATTATTGAAAGCCGTTGATCTCACGTATTACACTGCTTGTGGGAATGCGACTAATGAATGTATGGTAGCATTTTTGTCAGTCATGATTGATAATGGTGAGTTTTCTTCACGGAAAGTGCTGACGCGTGTGATATTTTTGTACGCGTTAATTTGTTTTCGCCTTAATTTCAGTATTTGCATACACGTTAATATGAGGTAATTTTCTCAATTTTTGATTGGACAAAATGTTGCTCTCACGTGTGAGGAAATTGTTTCGCTTTCCTGCTTGGTTTGTGTCAATGGCGAAGCGAGTTTTTGCAGTTATAGTAAATCCATTCGGAAAATTTGGTATATTATTTAAAATTAACACCCCCTCCCTCCTCAGTAAACCTCATCTCCAAGAAAGGGAATCAGCTGAGCAGAGTATCCACAATATCACTGGAAATTTTTTTCAAAATTGTTGCTATGGAAATAGCATGGACCTTCGTTGGAAATAGTATGGAAATTGGATTTTCGTACTAATTGCAATTTCCACACTATGGATATAGTATGAATATGGATTTTGTGATGCAATTGAAAAGGCCGCAGCCAGTGTCATAATTTGCCCTTGCTGAAATTAAAAAATGCAAGGAATTTTTCGGGGTTTTTTTTGTTGTCGCAAGTGTGACTTTCCATTGCGGCATCGTGGGCTCAGGATTGTGCAATTTAGCTAAAACATGCTTACAATGATTTAGGCCCGGTTTAGACGCCGTGCTTTTCATGAGCCGAACTTAATTCATATTTTACTCGAGTAAAATAGGCGAACTTTTAATTTTGATTTAGACAGGCGTGCTTTTCATGAGCCGTACTTAATTGATTAGCGCTCTTTCGCTTCGAATACAGTCACATGTCATAACAAGAAAAATGGCGCGAAAGTACTGCGTGGTGCTAATTTTCCCGCGCGCGAGCACGAAAACAATAGAAATAATAAAATATTTCATCATAATTTATGCATTTGATTCAGCCGTGTAGCACGCCTGGACCAGGCGAACTTATTAATTTAGGCGTGCTTAATATTAAGTGCAGTCTTAATTGATTTAGACGCCGTGCTTCTCATGTGCTTAATTCATTGTATTAAGTTCGGCTCATGAAAAGTACGGCGTCTAAACCGGGCCTTAAGGACCAATTCTACACAATGCTATTCAGAACGAATTTCGTATTTAACTACGTTACAAATCTTAGACGCTGTAATTGTGGGACGTATTTTATTATATTATATTTCTTTGCGCACGCGCTTGAACTTTTCTGTGTTTTCGATATGATATCGCTGACCTCCATTGGTTTTGTATGGATTTTTATTGTGCCGTCCTCTGAATGTTTGTGATCATGAAGTGATGGCCGTCAAGAAGTGAAAAACATCTACATGTTTCAAATTATTTTTTTGGAATATTGCGGAGCCGGTGACGCGCCTGAGCAGGCGTCTTGTTAGGCTCAGATTCCAGCCGTTGTGTTCTCGCCACTCGCCCACTTAACGGCTGGGTCAATGGTTAATATTTCTTGTCTGTGACGTCAAGGTTAATATTTAAATTTATGCATATGTTTTGCATAATTATGTATTTCTGTGCAATGTAAAATGGCGGCTGTCAGGAGCGAACAATTTTGTTTCGAAGAGGAAATAGCAAATTTTAACAACTTTGTGCATTCATCGATAACTTTTTGTAAAGGAAAACAAAATGGAAGCTTTTAAGTTCATTTGACAAAATGTTATTAAGTTCTAGTATGTTTTTAACGAAGAAAGGAACTGCAATGTACACGAGTCAATGAATATATTATATATCTAAATAGTAAAACAATAAACCCTACCAACAAAAGCAGGTGAATCTGAATAATTAACGTCTTATTTCAAACAAATAGTTTTTCAATGAATATTCTTTGAAGAGGAACATAAATTTAATGTTAATATTTGAGTTGTTTATAGACTATAGTTATACGTAATGCAATTTTACGCCTTGTGATTAATATCTAAAAATTTTCCTTATGATCGATTTTGTTCGAGGGACAGTGAAGGAACTAAGTCTTTTATAGACCAAACAATAGTCTGTCAAGATATGATCATTATGATGGTCTGGAAGCCTGCAAACTTCAAAGCTACAAAATAGAAGACCTAGTGTTTGATGTTGAACTGTACCTTACTGTGCACCTTCATAGATTTGGTTAAACAGTCTTTTGATGTAGCAAGAATATTTGAAATTTAAAATGTTCTTGGCTTTATTTCGGTGTTGTATAAGTTGTCTGTACAAATGGAGGCCGGGTGTGCTCATCGACCCACATATGGTTCAGTGTATGACTGTTGACCAAGTCAGTAATCATTTGTAGCTACACACAGCAGTGAGGGGTATTACTGTGGTAATTGTTACAGGATATTGCCTTTCCAAATTGAAAAAAAAATTATTTGATGAAATACCCCCCCCCCCACCTTACACCCCCTTTGCCAATGTTAAGGGGGGATGCATCCCCATGGCAGTAAATACATCCAGGGATGGATCCAGCATGATCTGGTGGGGGGGGGGGGTTGCTCTGCCAGCTCTGGTGCTGAGTTGTGTCGGTCATGCATGCCACCCGCCCATCAACTTGCTTCACTACTGCAAAGTCCTGCTTGACTGCTGTATTTAAATTGTAATTGTTGTTCACATTTCACTTATCATCATGTTATTACTCAAATTACTGTATGTCATTTTGTCTCTTATAATTTTTTGCTTTATCATGAAAAATAGCACCCCCCTCGCCAGGGCAAGGGGGGTGCCCCCCCCCAGTAAATCCATCCCTGAATACATCTCTGCAGGAATGCAAGAAGAATTTGGCTTCTTTTCCCCCATGAAAACTTAATCCCCCATGCCATGATAATTTTGGTGTTTAACATTTTGATATTTTCTAACTAAAGTGTTACTGCAACAAATTTTCTGAACCCTTGTTTATTAGCTTAAATAAATATTCAATCTTTCAGAATTAGCAATTTATCATGCTTTGTCATTCTCAGCCTGGCTTTCATATGAACAGCCATTAAAAACACACATTGACATGACAACTATCCTTTTCTTAATACCATACTGACAAGGTTTCCAAAACTCAGCCTGAGAGCAAACATATTTGAGCTTGTTGAACAGACTAAATGCATATTTCACTGATGTCTGAATTTATAAAACATTGCATACTTTTATTCCATAAATCCTCTACTTAGGCTATCCAACAAGTCCCATTCTTTGCCCCTTCACAACAAAGAAACACATGATACCAATTGGATTTATTTATTGCCCTTCAAATAACTATGTGCCCACATTTATTCAATTAGTATTCATGGTAAATCATATTGTCAATATATAAAATAATATTGAATTTATTGTGCTTGCCTGTAATTAGCAATTAGCATATATGAGCACACTGATATATCAGTTTCAGTTCACAAATTACCTGCCCAGTCTAAAAAATATTGTCAAATGGCCCAAACTAGTTTGTGGGAGATCTAACCATGCAAGCCTATTATTATCTAGCCATGGGCACGCACCATGAAAGGGTCTGTTTATAAAATCCCAGCTAGGCAGGATGAGGCAGTTTCCAAGATCCTGACTATCATATCAACTCGTGTTCAAAAATACATGTATATATTTGATGAACTCACTCAAGAACATGTGTAAACATGACATCCTAGCTGCCTGGCAAGGTTTCCCACTTTCCCACCTGACAGAATCATATAAGCATGTCTTAATATTAATTAAAATAAGCCTTTTAAATACTGCAATATCCTACATACTAATATACTATATGTCACAAGACTTTGCAAAATAACATTTATTTTTCTACTTTCCTGGCAATATGTCAGACCAGCCCAATAATAAACACATCCAGGTTTATTTATGTTTATTGTAAACATATAATTCTAAATGTCCAACTGAATCAGCAGAAACAGGGAGGGTTTCAAAGGACTAGGCCACCTAGCTAACTAAGCTAAAAAAAGAAAGGTTATTAATTTTGCTCAGCCACACGCAAAATATTCTTTGCCCTTTCATGACCAAGAATCCTCAATGAGATATATTATTTATAAACACAATATAAAAATATGCAACGGATTCGAAAACATTCCAGCGACTATTATTCGTAAAGAGACTTCGGTTCTTGTCGTAAAAATCGTCGGAATTACTCTTCCCCAAAAAATGTCGCTTTAACCCATGTAGTTCACGTATAAATATCGTTGAACAGACCTTTTTAAGTGCACATATTTGCACAACGCCGACCTCGAACGCTTCAGCAATGCGCTTTAGCCATATTTAATTTATTACCTTTGTGTTAAATTTATGCATTATTAATACAAATTTATGCCCCCCAAATTTTGGGGGGCTGTAATGTGATTGGTCAATCAGAACAATGCCGAAGCTCATTGACCCAGCCGTTAAGTGGGCGAGTGGCGATCGAGTGGAATCTGAGCCTATGAAGAAGTTAGACTGTTTATAGAAGTTAAATATCAGCATTTGGGGCATCTATGACATCTGTACACTCGGTAACAAATTGTAGAAGGGTTTTGTACATGAAAATTTCGAGTGTGAATTTTATACATTGATTAGACCTAACCATTACCCTGGTTCCAGAGGCTCTTTGCGAGGCGAAAGAAACGAGAGGCGAGAAGGAAGAGCCTCTGGTCACATCGGTTGCAAATCCCACTTCCACACTTGACTGGGTTCAGAATTTAAATCTCGCATGTGATTGGCCATTTGTAAAAATAAGTCGAAACGGTTTGATAAATAAAATTACTGTATAATTAGCTTAGAGCAATTTTATGTAAATTAACATGATTTTTTATCACATATAAAGATACGACACACTTTTGCATATATATATATATATATATATATATATATATATATATATATATATATATATATATATATATATATATATATATATATATATATATATATATAATTATTATTATTCTGTATAGCTTATGTAATCGAATAACACGTCACGTACAGAATTATTCATCATAAGGTAAATGAAAAGGAATACGGCTTCTGGAATGTTGTTAGCCCTGCCTACAGAGCCTCGTTTTCGTAATTGAGATGCCTTGTGTATTCTCTTGAAAACAAAACTTCTGTTGGTAGGAATGCACTGAAAAATACAACTACATGAAAAATACAAGGAGCAATTAATTCGACGTTTCGAGCGAAGGCCCTTCGTCGGGAAGCTATATATTAACTTTCCGACGAAGGGCCTTCGCTCGAAACGTTGAATTTTTCCTTGTTATTTTCAGGTAGTTGCATGCACTCCTGCCAACGAACGTTTTGTTATTACTGGCACTACATATACACTTGCAGAGACCGTTCAAGATCATATCTCTTGAAGACAACATACAGTAGTCTCGTTAACACTGTTTTCCAATACCATTAAGCCCATTTTTCACTCGGCTAATATGTTCGCGCGAACAGTAAGAAAGTAGGAACTGATCCAACTTTTTGACCAATCACATTGGCAACATTCGTTTTTTGCTTCGCTTCGCACGAACAAATTCGCCAAGTGGAAAATGGGCTTTACAGTCGCATTGCGAGTCGACACTTTTGAACATGCACTGTCGCTGTCCACATTAACCTTAAAATCGATTGAAAAAGGACGCGGCTATTGTAGGTTTACCCAGAAAAAGCGCGACAGCCGGACTTAAGGTAACTCCGCATTTTTGCATTGCGCACTTTTACTGCGCACATCTTATAACTTATAATTTCATCCATTATACGTACCGTTTAAAACAAAATCATTTTATGACAATTTTATGTTACTTCAAAACATCTTTGGTTACATTCGTGAAAAAAGTACGTTAAAATCAATGTTCCCAAAAAAGGCATACAAAAGTGTGGCTAGGGTTCCTGTGTCTGTAGTATATTTATTTACTTGTATTTCACGTTTTAATGCCACAATTCCCTAAAAAGATCGGTGACCCCCGTTTTTTAACTGATAATTTATTTCTTTAATGCATTTTACATTTCATATCCGAATTTAAAAAATCATTTCTGGATCTTGAAAAAAAAGATATCACCGAAAGATATGTAAAGAAATGTGGAAAAGACATTTGTGGATCAGAATTGTACACGTTAGTAGTTTCATTTTGCTCAAAACACAAATTTTTTTCAAAAATAATTACAAGATAGGTTTACTAAAGCAAAATCCGCGCTAAAAACGTCAATAAATATCGGGCTGTTGTGATTTTGCTGTTACTCGTAATGAGCGCCAAGATGGCGCCATATTGGGGTAAAGGTGGTATATTGTGATTGTCATATCTTCTTAACGAGTTCGGTGACCCCGACTTTTTTGTGTGATTTTACTTTAAGTATATCATAAACTCCATGCCTGGGAAGTTTCAGCACATTCTCATTTCGGGAACAATTACTGCGGAATTACCTTAAGGCCTAATTCCACGACGAGCGAAATGCGAAAAATTTCGCGCGAAAGGTTGAGCGCATGCGCAACATGATTTTGGAGTGTTCTGCGAAATATTTGTCTTCGCCGGGTAGTTGAATTCGCTTCTACTCCGTTGCGAAATGGAAATAGCAAAGCCAATCAAATGTTGGTGTTTTGGCGAATTTTTTTCTCTACTTTGGAAATCACTACGAGAGAAAATTTTTGCACAAGTGTGTTTTCGCGCGAAATTTTTCGCATTTCGTTTGTCATGGAATTAGGCCTTTAGTATCCAGTTTTTGATATATATAGCTTCTTTGGGTACTTATAATGTACAATAATGAAAAAAAATTCTCGAACTCAAAAATTTTGGAAACCAAGGAGGGGGAGGGGTTCTTTTCCATCAAACTAAAAATGGCTTCCGCACGAAATTTAAAAACTTTAATCGTATTTTGAGTTAATGTGTGGAACATGTGTTGGGTGTTTAAGCCATTTAACTATTCACGCAAACTTACATTTTTTTCCTATGTCAGGAATATGCACTTAGATAAAGGCATTAATTAAGAGCTTAAACTAAAGCAAATTGTCTGAAATTTTGTACAGTGATAAAAAAACCAACAAATTTTCCATCCATTAACTCAAAATACGATTAATTAAAGCTTTAAAATTTCGTGCGCAAGCCATTTTTAGTTTGTTGGAAAAGAGACACACCCCTGGTTTACACAATTTGAGGTCAAGTTTTTTTTTCATTATTCTACATTATGAGTACTCAAATAATCCATATATAACAAAAACTTGATACCACGACCTGTTCTGCGAAATTGAGAGTGATTTCAAATCTGTTCAGTTTTTTTATACACCCTGTATATATATACGTTTAAAACGTTCTTAATTCTGGTTGGCTAAGAGCATGCGCGGGGTAGTGTCAGGTAGATATTAACTATAACTATTTTTTTCATACGTCGGCTCGAAATTTTCATGATTGCTTTTTGCTGTTTATTGCTATAAGATTATAAATATGGTATCAACAATTGACAACCTAATGCTTCGCTTGGAACGGGGACTACGAATCCTTAAAGTGTTTCGTAGGTAAAGATCTAAACCTAGACGGTGTTTGGGAGCAGCCGGGCGGCGACAAGAAGGTATTTAAATCGAACAACATCTTAATCTCGTGGAGAAAGAACAAGAATCTACTGCACCTTGAAGGCGTAGAGGCGGGCAAAATTGCACAACTTTTTTGCTTCAAGATGTGTCAAAGTTTTACCGAGGGTGTCGCTGTAAACGACGCTGTTAATGAAGTTGTTGTTGTAAATGACTCAGATAACTCATGCGAGACCGATCAGGACACTTCACAAAGTCGTGTCTGCAAAAGTAACGCCATCTGTTCAAATATTGAGGAACTTAAGACCGGCCAGACTATTAACACAGAAGCCATACAAACACTATCCGATTCACTTGTTCATATAACCGAAGTTCTTGCAAAACTTCAAGAGAATATGAATAAAAGTCGGAGAAACACCGAGCTTCAAGTTGAGAAAGAACCTACTTATATGCAAGAACGAATTGCTGAGCAAGAGCTAAATAATAAAGAGAATACTATTGAAACCAATGAAGCGAGCGAATCAAATAACCTTAACACGGGAGAAACCCCTAAACACTTAATCCCTTCATCCCTTTCTTCGTAGCCATTGTCTCAAAGGCGCTAAGTGTGATTTCCTTCATGTAAATACCTATCCAAGGCAACGCATACAAAACCATCAGTGGCAAAATTTTCAACCTTTTTTTCACAAACAAATGTTACACCCTCTCCAAACTTTTCCACTTACTATGAGACTTCCAACTTTTCATCAGCCCATTCCAGGTATATATCCCCCCTCTTTAATGGAAGTCCCGACGAGACCACCTGGTCTTTATTAGATCTGGTCTGTACGCCAATGTTACCGAATGATAATACTATACCAGTCAGAACTGACCCACGTTGAAGCTACCGCCCCTCTGGCCATAATCCTTAAAACTGCGTAGCTATTCAAACTAAACCACAAGAAAAACCTAGGTCTCCAAATCTATTTGTTCCTTCGATCTTGTTGTCCAACGTGATGTCTCTCGCTCCTAAAATGGATGAATTTCGTGAGGTCTCATCTGTATAACGGAGTCATGGCTCCAAAATCATATACACGATAATGTCGTCGAAATCTCCGGTTACAACATTGTACGACGCGATAGATATCAAGGCGAACACGGTGGCGTCTGTGTCTACGTTAAAAATGCTATAAAGTACGATATTTTATCAGAGCTTGTGAGCAACGATTTCGAAGCCATTTGGCTAAAGCTAAAACCTCTACGTCTCCCAAGAGGTATGTCATGTATTATACTATGCAATCTTTACCACCCCCCTAGAGGAAACGATCAGGATTTAATTAACTACTTCTACGAGGCTTTAACAACAATTGAGGCACGATTCACCAATTGTGGCATAATAATCCTTGGAGACTTCAATAAACTAAACCTTTCCAGACTGAAAAATAGTTTCAAACTATGCCAGATCGTCAAATTTCCAACTCGTGGCTCAAGTTCCCTTGACCTGGTACTTACCAACATGAAACAGTTTTATGATGAACCAACTAAACGTCCACCTTTTGGCCTCTCCGACCATTTATCAGCCGAAATTCAACCTTTGAAGAGACCAACTAATCGAAAGGCGAAATTTTATACGATCTCCCGGGACTTGAGGCCCACCAAAAGGGCTGATAATGCGGAAATACTTAGAAGAAGTGGATATTAAGGGCCTAATCGAAACGCAAAACTCATGTAATGCAAAGGTAGAAATGCTCGAATCAATAATTAACTATGGACAAGATACATTACTACCCTTAAAATCCAAATTGAATGTCTCCAATGACCCCCCTTGGATCTCTCAACCATTAAAAAAATTGATCCGACGCCGACAAGCCGCTCTAGCTCGTGGTGACGAGACACTGTTTAAATCCTTAAGAAACCAAGTCAATCGAGAACGCAAGTCGTGCCGAGGAAAATTTTATTCATCGAAGGTTGAATATTTAAAAACCTGTTCACGGGCGGAGTGGTGGAAAGAAGCCAAAAAACTGAGCGGTATCTCGTCACAGGTTCGCGTAGACCCAATCTCTCTCTTACGGAACTTGGATTGTGGATCCGAAAACAATCCAACTGAATTGGAAGACCTGGCCAATATGATCAACAAAACATTTTTAGAACCTACAAAAGATTTTGATGCTCTACTTCCGGAAACTGGTGATGATATACCAATAGAAAATATACGATCGTACCACGTATCTGAAATGTCTGTCAGCAAGAAGCTAGCCAACCTAATTAAAACTAAAGCAACAGGACCTGACGGTATCCCGGCCTGGTTGCTGAAGGAGAATTCCGACATTTTAGGTGCTCCAATTTCGGATATTCTCAACAGCTCCTACTAAGAAGCGAGTCTCCCTCAATCGTGGAAATGCGCAGACATCGTTCCAATCCCTAAACAGAAACCAGTTCAAGAAGTAAACAAAGACTTGCGTCCAATCTCGCTGACACCCATAATTTCTAAAGTGGCTGAGGATTATATTGTCGACGAATTCGTAAAACCAGCCGTGCTCCGTAGAGTTGATCCGAATCAATATGGTGCGATCCCAAGATCAAGCCCCGTGTTCGCCCTCCTGGGTATGATTCATAAGTGGAACGCAGCCACAGATGGAACGGGGGCAACAGTTAGAGTTATACTATTCGACTTCAAAAAGGCGTTTGACCTCATTGACCACCACTTGCTACTTTCCAAAATAAAGACGTATGATTTACCTCAATGGGTGTTTAAATGGATCAGAGACTTTCTCACAGGAAGAAAACAACGGGTCAAACAAAATCAAAATTCTTATTCGGATTGGGTCGACATTTCAGCTGGTGTTCCACAAGGCACTAAGTTGGGGCCGTGGCTGTTTATCATAATGATAAATGACTTAAAGATTAACGATATGGAAAATTGTGGACGATACAACAACTATATGGAAATTTGTGGACGATGCAACTTTAGACGAAATTGTTGGGAAAAACGAAGAAAGTAAAGTTCAAACCCTTATAGATGACCTAACAAGACAAATCTCTGAGAGCCAATTCAAACTTAACGAAACTAAATGCAAGGAGTTACGAATCGGATTCTGCAAACCAAGAGCAATGTTTGACCCTATTATAGTAAATGGAGAAATGTTGGAAGTGGTCGACAGTGCTAAAATCCTTGGTCTGACGGTTTCTAACAATTTGAAATGGAACAATCACATTGACCAAATTATATCGAAGGCGCGAAAGCGTCTCTATTTCCTCTCCCAACTTAAGAGAGCGAGAGTTGGCACGAAAGAACTTGTCCTATTCTTTACAACGTGCATAAGACCAATCCTAGAATACGCAAGTCCTGTATTCCATAATGGTTTGACAAATTACCTCAGTCAGGATTTGGAGCGGATCCAAAAGAGAGCATTGCGAATTATCTTACCTTGGGTCTCATATGAGGACGCTTTACAATCAACTGGCCTCCAACGACTCAGCCATCGAAGAGACGATCTTTCAGACAAACTATTTGAAGAAATAGTGACTGATGATAGCCATAAGCTTTATAATCTTCTTCCACCACGTAATGAAACTGTTCATATGACTCTTAGATCCAGTCAAAGATTTAACGTTGCATTTCAGACTAACCGTTTTAAAAATAGCTTTATTATATATAATGCATTAAATTATTCATCATAAAATTATTAGAACATTCTTAGATCCTTTTAGAGACATTTAGTTGTATAGTATTTTAACATTTTCTTATCTTGTAAATATAAACGTAATTCAGCCTATTGGCTGCAATGTTTATATGTAATAAACCATCTATCTATCTATCTATCTATCTATCAGTCCTCGTTCTACAATGATGGACTCAGTCCTCGTTCTACAATCAAGGACTCAGTCCTCGTTCTACAATCAAGAAATCAGTCCTCGTTCTACAATCATGGACTCAGCCTCGTTCTACAATATGAACTCAGTCCTCGTTCTACAATCATGGACTCAGCCTCGTTCTACAATATGAACTCAGTCCTCGTTCTACAATCATGGATTCTGTCCACGTTTTACGATTCACGAACTCAGTCCACATTCTACAAATCATGGGCGCGGCTTGCGAACAAATTGAATCGTTCGCGAATAATTTAAGTCGCGGCTCATTTTGGCTCGTATAAATGGCCCTACGACAGATAATCAGAAAGATGATGATTCATTGATTCTTCAGAAATCCAAGGTAATGTAAAATCGACCCCATACTGTGTAATTCTTGCTAACAATTATGAATTCAGACATTATGGTCTATATATAGGTGGGAAACCCCAACCCCCAACATGTGACATTGTGTAGAGCTAGTGAACAGTGTTAAACCGTCTCGCGCATTAGTTATAAGATTACAAAAGCAATAAGCATTAAATATGAAAACGTATTTTGTCAATTTCATCACTCTTGTCTCGAGTTATCTACTTTGCATTGCCAATGGTCAAAGCGTTTCGATGCTGAAGCTCATCAGCCAAGACGAAGAACAAAGCCCCGAAAGTGTAACAGCAGCAGCCAAATTGGTTCAAGGCATAACATTTGACATATTCAAGGACAAAATATCATGTGAAGAGCAGCGAGAAATCCTTTTGACGAACTTCTCAACAGTTATAGAAAATTTTGCTCGGCATTTTTCCATTCCAGCAGATGTCAAAAACTCACTTTTAGCCGGCCAGTACCATGATGAAATGGCAAAATTTGTACAGACTTTCAAATTTGAAAATGGCGAAACGGGGCGTTTTGTTTATGGGAAAGTTGCAACTATCAAACGAGGTAATAAAATTGACATGGCCTACTCTGTGTACACCCTAGATTTCAAGCTGGCGCCTACTGTCAGAAGGCACAAATGGAACCATAAACATAGGAATAAACATAGCCATAGGAATAAACATAAGAAGAAACACTGGCGATGCGGGTGTAAAAATAAACAACGAAACCTGTCTGCAAAAGAGAAAGATCATCTGGACAATTATTTCACGATCTTGGCAATCTCAAAACTTCGTTCAGCATATCATAAAAATCATTAAGGCTCGTTTACACACTTGCAATTCTCGCTGCGATTTCTAAAAGTGCTATATTCTTTTTCTGATGGATGTAAACGATTAGATGAGTAATGAATGTTCTGACTTCTGAGTATGTGTGCTTTCTATGTGTGTGCTCCATATGGTGTACCTCATCTGAACATTCACAACTCATCCAGTCGTTCACATCCATCAGAAGTAGAAAATCGCACCTGAAATCGCAGTAAAAATTGCAGGTGTAAACGGACCCTAAAGGCGGTAATTTCATTTTTCCGTGGCAAATCAATAAATAAATGAAATTTCTTGTAATCTGCTTCAGACTCTTGCTCTTGTTTCTTGGTATAAAGCCTGTTGTCCATTCGAAGCATATCATAACCAAATTACGGCAACACTATATATACGGTACGTCACGATACGATTTAGACTTTCAGGTGAATTTTCTAGTGGAAAACAGCAAAATTGGATGATAATTGCGTGGCCGGGAATGTCACTGGGTACGTGTAGAGATGACGCCGCAAAACAAGTATGCTAAGTAAAGGGTAAATGCTATATATATAACCTCAATTTAA